GGATGGATGCTTTCGGACAGATGTGGCGAAACAACCAACTCACCTGTACTGCTCTGGCAGGTATATCCTGAGGAGCAGTGCACACGCCGAGAAGTAGAGGCCCATGATCTCAGACATGGCCAGAGCAAACACATTCGATGACACCGACGTCGACACGAAACGAAACACCGTCAACAGCTGCGCCGTGCGCACACAAGTAGGACACACACACACAAACATTTGACCAACATTTGTTCTGCGTGTCTGTCTGTGTGTGGGGAGGGAGGGGCGCGGCGTACCTTTGATATGAATCCTCTGATGTTGAGGGCGATGATGAGCCCGAGGAACAGCAGCGACACGTAGGGTGACCACACAGCCACGTCAATCGGCACCTACTCACAGACAGACCCACCACACCTAATGCGTGAATCTGCCATCGACTCGTTTGGCGGTTCGCTCACCCTGAGCAGGCCGAATGCGGCCGAGAGGAACAGGCTGGCAGGGTCCTCCTGGATCACCCGCCGCAGCATCACGTTGCTCACCGACATTGCAACCTGAGACCAACCCAGCACTTGCTATACTTGTATGTGCTGGTTGCCGAGTGTGTTCTTCCCACCCGATAGCAGCAGACGGCTGACATGCCCCAGCCCATGACGTCGAGCACCCGCCCGACGGGTGTCCGCGCATACAACTCGCGAGAACGAGACTCAACCAAATCATTCAACCCTAAAAAACATACACAGACTCACAGATGGTCTCCACACAAACCCATCCCTGTGTCATTCTCACGGACCGATGAACAGCTCTCTGCTGAAGGCCTCCAGCGCCTCTATCTCTGTGCTCAGTCGCTGCTCCTCAATGGACGCCTTGTCCCTCCTGAATGCGCTGGCAAACGCCTTGCGGATGAACCGATTGAGGGCCGACAGTGACGAGGATGAAGAGGGAAGGGAGAAGCCTGACGGCTGGGGGAGGGTGTCGGTGGGGTCACTGGTGGCGTCAGACGGGAGCGGACCGGTCGGCGGGGTGGCACCTGACCTCCTCTGAGACGGACACACACGGACACAGAGAGAGAAAGTGCTGCTTTGGATTTGATCACGTGTGTGAGTGTGCTGTGTGTGTGCAAGTCGGCCGGCATATGTGTCTACCCTGCAGAGTGACCACAGGTGGGCGGTCACCTTGGTGGGCTGGGCGCTCAATGATATGTCACCACCCCCAGCCCCACCCCCCAGCCCCGCCCCGCCAAATGGCAGCCCCCTCCTCGACGGCGACAGCGGCCGGCCCCCCTCGTACCCCACCATTGCCATTGGCCCATCACACGAATGGTTCTGCTGGTGGCCGCGGAGCAGCATCAGCCGCATGGTCTTCTTCTCCCCAATCAGCCTCAGTGTGTGCAGCAGCCGCTCCTCCACCTCCTGCACCTCTTTCTTCTGCACGGGTGAGAGGAATGCGGTCATGTTGCGATAAGGGAAGTTGATGGAGCCGAAGGCGGCCAGTGCTGACACGACGGTGACGCCGCAGACGCCCACTCGGGCCAGGAGGTGTGACATTGTGAGAGAGAAGGGGGGCAGGGTGAGGAAGAGGCTGCCGGACTTGTAGAAGAGGTACCACACAAGCGGTACGGCGATCAACGAGGATACCAAAGCCAACATGCCGCTGTCATCTGAACCACGCACACACACACACACACACACATCAGCATCTGCTTAGGTCTTTTCCCCTGCCCATTCAGCGCACCGTATAGCGAGCAGACGGAGAGTACGATAGCCGTTGGTATGACGAGGTAGATGAGTGTGAGAATGAGCATGAGGTCGAGCATCCACACCCATCGCCGCAGCCCCACTGTGATGAAGTCGAGCAGCTCGCACATGAGCAGCTGGAGCATCGACATCGACACGGTGAACGTCACCGAAAAGATATACTGAATGTGCAATGACTTGACCTCGTAATCCCTGCACAGCCACACACACGAGAAAGAGAAAGACCGGCTGTGCTGCCGTCGAGCGCTGTCTGGCTGCAGATCTGTGCGTGATCTGTACCTCCTACCTATAGAGGTGCTTTTCGAAGAACCAGTAGGCGCAGACGAAAAGGAACGTGTGGGAGAACACCAGCAGCACAAACTCCAACCAATGCCACATTACTGACGGACGTATCTATGTGAGCATGGCACACTACAGATGAGAAAATTGGTCGCTGCGTCCTTCCGCTTGCGAGCTGCAAGCTCGCGGTGAAGCGGCTTCCCCGTTGCGAAAAAGCTCTTCTGAAGGTGCAAATCAGCATTCAGCAGAGTTCTCGTGAAGGAGAATCAACCAAGGTCTGATATTTCGTCTCTTATCGTCAACTTCTTGCGTCATCATGCCAGTGCTGTCGAAGAGCGGCCATCTGCAGCTCTACACAGGCCGCCCCAGCTACATGGGCAGCATCCTCATGGGCAACGGACCGCCCAAAGGCCAGCAGACCCATCGCACCAGCCGCTCGTCAGTCCCTGTTCTCGTCCTCGGCGCCACCGGTGCCCAGGAGGCCCTGCATGCGGCCAAGTAGACCGTCCAAGCGATGAAGACGGCGTCAGCAGAGCGGCTTGCAAAGCGGACGGCCGTCAAGGAGCGCACTCGGCAGTCGCTGAAGGACAAGGAGAGGGCCGAGTACACGCGGCTCGTCGAGAGCAACCCCAAGCTGCTCGGCGGCCTATCTGCCGGCCGTCCCTCTGCCGCTCGCAAGTCACGACAGAAGAACAAGTCAACTAGTGTGGCTGTCAGTGGTGCTGTGGTGGGTACTCGTGCTGTTGTCCGTGAGTTGCCCGCTGATACCGCTGTGCCTGAGTCGTCATCTGCTGGTGTGTTGCCGTCTGCTGCCATCCCCCTCCCCCCCTCGCCCCAGCAGGCGGTCGACCAGCACACTGCCGACAGCATCGGAGTACACAAAGAGGACGGCCAGGCAGCAGCAGGGGGATCGGATGGCTCACGTGGGTGTGGTGACAATGGACGAGGCGATATCGCCGGTGTGGTGGACGGTGATGAGGGTCTCTCTGCCGGTGCCTTCGTGGAGCAGCCTGCTGTCGTCGTGTCCCCTTCCCCTCCCCTCCCCAATCACAACGACGTGGCCGGCCTGCCGACGGACCGCGCCACGGCTGGTGAGCAGCAGCAGGAGGGCGGTGTGTGTGGTGGCGGTGAGGGTGCGGCTGGCGTGTCATCGTCCTATGTGCGTGGGGACAGCTATGAGTTGAGGAGTGAGGGCTTCAGCCGCCTGACGACAGTGCGGCCGTGTCGTGCGGCCGCGGCTTACATGAGCCGCGCCAATGCCGCCATCGGCCAGTGGGCCCCCAAGGCCGTCAAGGTGCAGCGGGGAGGAGCCGAGGAGAAGTGAACAAGACCGACAGACAAGGCAGACCAACAGAGAAGGGGATGCGATTGGCTGGCCGGCTGGCTGATGGAGGGATGTGACGGGTGGGAGGGACGTGTGTGAGTGTGGTGGGACCTGCCTGCCTGTTTGCCTGTGCCTGATGCTGCCAATCGCTGGTGTATAGTAGACTCCCTCTTCTCTCTCTCTGTCTACCTGTGAGTGCATGCATCAATTCGTGGACGCAATGAGTGGCCCCCATGTAGAGAGAAAGACATGTGAGTGACAGGGGGCATTCGTGCGGACACGCAAAGTGTGTCATACATGCACACGGGGCTGTGGATGTGACAGCGTTGCAGACTCGGCTACATGATGTGTCCATGGCTGGATGATTTCAAATGCCAACACCGCAATAAGTCCAACCACCCTTGATTGACACATCCATGCACACAACGAGACGAAATGCGTCCCAGCCAACACATGCACGCACACGACGAGACTGCGGTCTCCAACGCACACCGACACATTGAATGCAAAACGGCGTGACGAACACGCCCACACACAATCTGATGTACAGTCGGTGGACACGCAGACTGACAAATACGCCACTGTGGTGCACCTATGCAGTGCCCATGGCAGAGAAAGAGACAGCCATCAACTGCACCCACACACATACACACACACACACAGAGAGAGAGAGAGAGAGAGAGATTGTGGACGCCGTCAGACTAATCACCACAATGTGTCTCTTTCACTTGCGTACCTTCCAACAGGAGACAGGCGCGTATGGCTGAAGACATACGTATCGCAGATAATGCGATCACAGAAAATAAGGAAAATCCCTCCATCGACGCGAAGCGGGACATGACTGCCGAATGTGGTCTTGCCCGGCTCCCCCTTCGTCAGCCTCACAATGATCTCTCTCCGTCTCACGTCTGTCCAGCAGAGGCCGGCGTGTCCGTTTCAGCCATGGGGACACAAGATGTCAGAACAGGGCATAACTGCTCAACGATACGGGTCTTGCCATCGTCGGTGGGGGCCTCGACGAAGAGGGGAATCGTCCGCACAATGTAGCCAACACGCCTGCCGTCAAGAGCCTGCTTAACACGCTCGACATCATCACGCGAGCAGTTGAGGTTGAAGTCTGGCGGCGACTGGAGCGGCAAACCGGCGGGATCGATGCCATATTGTGTCTGCACTCGGGCAACAGAACTTGAAGGAGAGGGACAGACAGAGAAAACGGATCCAGCGATTACGGCCTGATGGCTGTCTCGTCATTTGAGCCCATCTTACGTCAGGAAAGCGTCGTCCGGCTTGAGGAAATCTTCATCGGCCCTCAAGACAAATGGCCTTCTGGCCAGGCATTGAATCTGCACGCCTGACAACAGACAGGTGGTGACCTTGCCTGTGAGTACTTGATGCAATACTGTTTGTCGTACCTTCTTTCGGAATGTCGCAGACTTCTCTCAAGTGACCGCTTACTCTCGACTGGAAATCTATGCCGCCGCGGCCTTGCCTCGTATACATACGAAACCAACTGTCGACGAATGTGGTGTTGTCCTCGGAATCCGCATTGTCAACCGACAGTAAGGGAAAGCTGAATAGTGACGCGTTAACGAATTCTCCATCCTCCAACTTGACAAGTGCCGTTCCATTCTTCCGGTAGGTCAGTGTCTTTGGGGGCAGCAAGCAGCTCTCAGCAGAGGTATTGCTGGGAGGAGAAATAATGCTGTACTGCATGGTGCCGACAGGGGCACTTGACGTGAAGATCTGCACAAAGCAGTCAGCAGACATGCCCTCATTGATGCAGTGATGAGTGCGTAGCCGCATTACCAGTTCAGGCGTGATTGACTTCGTGTCGTTGGTTCCAGCTCGGTTGAAGAAGTCTCTGATGGTGGGGAGATACGACGTAAGAGCCGGATAACTACCCTCTTCTCCCTGAGGCTCAAAACTCAAGCCGCCGGCAAGAGTGCCTATATGATTGAGAGACACAAGCCGAGCACACAAAAGCGTACACGTACTCCTCTGAATGCGTCAAAGCGTACCTTCAACGAACATCAGAGTGCCTTCGCACTCTTCGGGCGACACCTGGCGCACCGTCCCCTTGAAGTCAACATTGGCGAAGCCAACCTGTGGCTGGTCATCATCCCCTGGGGCTCTCAGTGCGATCCGTCCATCCAGAGCCTCGACATCATATCTGATCCGCACTTGCAAGTCGGCGTCGTCTCCCTCGCAGCTGAAGGCTTGTACGAAGGCCTCTGTCCCACTGCCCCTTTCCCCCCGAGCCCGGAATATCCAAAGACAAGCGGTACTGTTAGGGTCCACTCCTGTGTCATTGACATCTTCCGCGGGAAGGTCGGCAGCGGTACTGTCAGGGTCCACTCTTGGTTTGAAGTCGGTCATGCGGTAGCTTGATGGCTGGGCTGTACTGGAGGCATTCAGGACAATCTCAGGACATGCCTCGACTGACACAAGCAAAAGATATGACGAAGCAACAACAGAAAGCGACAGCAAGTCAGCTGTGAGTCATTCTGATTGCTTACAGCATTCAAACCCAATCACACAGCGATTAGGCAGGACATCCCCGTCTCCCATGGCAAAATCGCTGAACCTCTCGGTGCAGTTGTTGATCGTTGGATCCTCACGTGTCGAGAACATCTCGACCGAAGCGTTGATCCGCTGCTCAGAGCCTCTCGTTATCCCCTTGCAAGTATGATTTCCATCGGGAAAGACGAAAACACACGTGTCAGCTCCAAGGAGTCCTTCGTTGGGCGCAAGAGCAACACTCACAACCTCGCCAGTTAAGCTGGGATCAACGAGGGCTTGAGCAGATAGGCCGTCATCGCCAGGTTCAAAGTCGACGGGAAGGTTTGGGAGCCTTAATCCTCGGCAATTGGCCAAGACTGCAGACACACGCATCAACGGCAGGACAGTCAACCGTCTTTGCGTCTCAGCCAAGAGACAAGAAGAGAGAAACATGCTTGTCACGCGCCTAGCTGGTGTCATTGCCATGTACCTTCTCTTCCATCGATCAGATTTCCCAGCTGGCCCTTCACACAGCGGCAGCACACAGACAGACATATGTGTGGCTGCTTCTTGAGAATGAACGGAGTACCTTCAGAATCAGGTCAAGTGACACGCCCGTCTCCGCGCTGAAGAGGTCGAACGATCGAGGCCCCTTTGTATCGGACACATTTGAACATAGCACAGACTTATTTCCCACAGGGAACTTGACGTCTAAGTCCAAATCGTCCAAACACGACACGTCGTCATCCGTGATGACAAAGAATCTGTCTCCGATTGCGGCGCTGCTGAAAGACAGGTCTGGCGACTGCTCCGGCTTGTACAGGGGGGAGAAGATGGTCGGCAGGACCTCTCCTAGAAGGGCACGGCTGAAATCCTCGCGAAGAATTACAGATGTTCCAGCTTGTTCTGGACGGACCTCAGTCACGCTGTCCTCACTCATATCGGCCGCACTCACACATATCTCACTGCACTCCCGAAATGCATCTTGATTGTCGAAAGCGAACTGACTGGCCTCCAGGGGGTTCTGACGATGTGAAGGGAAGCGAGACATATACGTGCATATGAGGTCCCCCTATCTACCAGTGCCGTACCTTTCGGATAATTTCGCCAGACGTCGTGTCCCTTCCATATCCTGAGGCAGCCAGTGCAAGGATGCCGCCCGCCTCGGTCTCGCCAGATGTCACTGAGAACGCTCGCTGGTTGAGCAGGACATCACATTCATCAGGCACATCATCGGGGAATGTCAGGAGGCCGAGACTCGTGTTGGCTGAGGGCGAGAGAATGCCGATCGCCCGTGCAGTGACAAGATCGTCCTGTGTCTCGTTGCCGATGATGAGAATCCGCTGGGTCTGGTTGTACTCGAATTGCTGAGCGATGAGAGACTCCGACTCGTCCACGAAACCCGTCAAGGTGACCTCGATCTGCGCCTCGATTCCCTCGCACACCGGGTTGCTGGCGTTCTCGACGACCAGCACGCCCTGAACTGTGGCAACTGCAGGCTGGAGGGCATTGCCGGCTCGATTGGAGCAGAGGCCGGTGTCGGGGCAGGTGAACTGGAGGGTGACGCTAACGCCCTCTGTCGTGTTGCACGACAGGTCCACAAAGAAGTCACCAAGTCCATTATCATCGTCACTCTTGCCCTGGATCCTCATGCAGCTCGACACGTTGGCGCCGGTGTTGTTGACTGTCGGCAGATAGGCGTCAGAGCTCACGTCTTCGAACAAATAAGTGCCGGGCACCAACTGAGCGAACGTCGCCTCTTGCGGAACAGGGGGCTCTTCGTTTGGCTTGACGCTCTGCTCTCGTGGGTTGGGCCCAATGTCTTCCCTTCTCTCGACGACGGGCAGGCTGCCCGCACAGTCAAAGGGCACGGCGAAGCGGTTGACGGCATTGAAGCACGGATCCAGCTCGGCCGGGAAACACAGAGACGATGGCTGGCCGCTGGCGACGCCCCTCGTTAAGCTGACATCGCCGCGCGAGAAGTTGGCCACGTCGCCGAACAGACCCACTTCCTCCTCGATGCAGTAGCAGAAGCGGGAGTCGCTCGTGCGGGCACAGATGGGCTTGTCCGACGGGCAACTGACAGACAGGCGCACGAAATTACGGTGCCATACTCATTGAGCAGTTCCTACCTTCCCAGTGCCGCAGTGCCCAGATCGGTGATGTTTGTGCCATTGACGCCGCTCGGCTCGCCACAGATAATGGACTGGTTGCCGCTGGTCGCAGTGACATTGCCGAAAGTATCCGAGTCCTCATTGTTCAGCGCATCTGTCTGTTGCTCCTTGAGTAGTCTTCTTGTGGTATTCTCATAGAAGCACTGGCCGAAGTTGCCCAGAGTGATGTTGTCGACGATGGGCAGCAGCGCATTGGCCTCGCACGCCGCGGCGATCTCACCGCGCGGGAGGACGGCTGAAGAAGCGAAAGGCATTCATATCCACTTGTTGTTCACGTGCCCTCTGTTGTGCTTACCCGGCTGGCAGTCTGCGTTTGTTTCGGTCGGCTGTCCGTCGTCGTCTGTTCTTGTGTTGTTGGTCAGACAGGCCGTCGTGAACTGAGCTACAGCACCCTTCCTCTCCCATTGGCTCAGCAGAACGGACAGCACCGCAGCCACAAGCCAAAAGGCTCTCCGCATAAAATCGTGATCACAAGAATTTACTTCAGCCGTTGCCACACTGTACAATGCAAAGGAAACAAGAATGAGGCTCTTCCTTTTTCTCTTCGTTTCCTCCGTCCTTCGGGCAGCTGGAGAGATGAGTGGTCTGCCGCAGACGCGTCGGGAGGGCGCGCCGGACCGTCGTTCAATCTTGGTTTCGTCTGCACAGGAGAGCTCCGGAGGACGTGCTGCTGAAGACGCCGCCCACCACGGCGCCCTTCTCGGCCAAGATGGTGGGCAGAGTACAACACCTACCATATTGCAACCCGACGATTGCGTGCATCAGATACCCTCCCTTCTCGTCGCCTGCAATTCGATGATGAGCCCAGGCCGATGCAGTTTCAAGGCATCTGCTGCACCGATTGTATTCCTCTATACGGCACAAGTGCTTGTTACGACGGTAACTGTATTGAAAGTTGCTGAGGACAAGAGAGCCAGGCACGCCTTTAGGTCAGTTTCAGTGACCCGCGTTGCGGAAAGATTCGCGTGTAGCATGATTAGTGTGTGACCAATGTGTACAGCAGTCTCTATGGCTTATTGCACCACATTTTTCCTGGTGCTTTGTCATTGGGAAACCTTTTGTCATTGGGAAACTTTTTGTTGTGACTGACTGGGTGGGACGAACGGACGGGAAGGGACCTTGCAAAATACTGAGCAGATTCGGTGTGACGCTGTGGCCCTCATCCAGCAGTATAGTTACTAGCACTGCTGCTGGTTTTGTGGACCGTGCTCCGTGAGCCGTCACTTTCTTCAGTGGATGACTTTCTCTAGTGTCCATGGGGCGAGACAATAACATGAGGGGTTGGAGGGCATCTCACGTCCCTTGTCGCGGACATGCAAAGATCTACATGTTCGTGCATGCATCAATTCGTGGAAGCAATGGGTGGCCCCCATGTACAGACAAGAAAGATATGAGTGACAGGGGCCATTCATGTGGACACGCAAAGTGGGACAGACATGCACCGCGGCTGTGAATGTGACAGCGCTGCAGACTTGGTTACATGATGCGTCCATGGCTGGATGATTTCAAATGCCAACACCGCAATAAGTCCAACCACCCTTGATTGACACATCCATGCACACAACGAGACGAAATGCGTCCCAGCCAACACATGCACGCACACGACGAGACTGCGGTCTCCAACGCACACCGACACATTGAATGGCGTGTCAAACACGCCCACACAATCTGATGTACAGTCGGTGGACACGCAGACTGACAAATACGCCACTGTGGTGCACCTATGCAGTGCCCATGGCAGACAAAGAGACAGTCATCAACTGCACACACTCACACACACAGGGAGAAAGAAAATGACGCCGTCAGAGGAATCACCACAATGTGTCTCTTCCACTTGCGTACCTTCCAACAGGCGACAGGCGCGTATGTCTTCAGCCATACGTATCGCAGATAATGCGATCACAGAAAATAAGAAAAATCCCTCCATTGACGAGAGAAAAAATGGGGACATGACTGTCGAATGTGGTCTTGCCCACTTCCCCTTTCGTCACTTTCACGATGATATCTCGCCGTCTTCCGTCTGCCCAGCAGGCGTCGGTCTCTGTCGCTCACCCGGGATAAAACAGAGGGTCAGAACAGGGCATAGCTGCTCAAGTCTGTGGGTCTTGCCATCGTCGGTGGGGGCCTCGACAAAGAGGGGAATCGTCCGCACAATAAAGCCCCTAGGCCTGTCAAAAGCCTCTACTTTGCGCTCGACATCAGCAAGCGAGCAGCTGAGATTGAACCCGTCTGGCGACTGGAGCCGCAAAGCGGGATCAACGCCGTTTGGTGTCTGCACTTGGGCGACAGAGCTTGATGGACGGAGACACATACGGAACGGGAGCACACGGCAAAAGGACAGTGCTGATGTTCTCGCCATTTATGCGATATCTTACCTCAATTGGAAATCGTCGTCCGGCTTGAGGACAGTTTGATTGGCCTCCAGGACAAATGGCTGTCGGGGGAGACATTGGATCTGCATGCCTGATCGACCGAAAGGCACCCTTGCGTGTGAGCACGTAACGGATTACAACGTGTCGTACCTTTCTCAATATCACATACTTCGCCCAACTTGCCACCTATTCTCGACCAAAAGTCTCCGCCGCGGCCTCGCCTCCCCGCAAACATTCGAACCTCGCTGTTGACAAGCATGGTGTCGTCCTCGGGTCCCGAATTGCCAATCGACAGAAAGGGAATGTTGAATGAAGCATCATTGGTTTCATCCTCCGGAGGTCCATACTTCCGGTGGGTCAGTCTCGCTGGGGGCTGCAAGCAGCTCTGAGGGGTATCGTCAGGGGCAGAAACAACGTCGTACTGCATAGAGCCGAACGAGGCACTTGACGTCCAGACCTGCATAAAACAGTCACTAGACATGCCCTCCTTGCTAATGTATACGTGTGGCAGTATTACTAGTTCAGGCAGGATCGTGTCATCGACTCCAGCTTCGAAAACGTCCCTAATCGTGAGGAGATACGTCCGACTCGAAACCGGACCAAGGGGCTCTTCTCCCTGAGGCTCAAAACCCAAGACGCCAGCAAGAGTGCCTGTGTGAAGCGACACAAGCCGGACACAGAGAGGCGTACACGTACTTCTCTGAATGCGTCAAAGCGTACCTTCAACGAACATCAAAACCCCTTCGCAGTCTGGGGGCCAAACCTGGCGCACCGTCCCCTTAAAGTCAACATTGGCGAAGCCAATTTCGGGCTCCTCGTCAAGGCGTCCATCGAGAGAGAGCGGGATCTGTCCATCCAGAGCCTCGACGTCGTATCTGATCCGCACTTGCAGGCCAGCCCCTTCCTCGTCCGGGTCGCAGCTGAAAAGGGCCCGAAAGTCCTCTGCACCTGGAGTGTTTTCTGTCTCGAGGCAGTAACTGACATCTGTGCCATTGACATTTTCCGCAGGAGGGTCAGTCAGGAAATAGCTCGATGGCTGGGCGGTCAATGGGGCGGTTAAGTTGACCTCAGGACATGCCTCAACTGACACAAAGCAAGAGAGACGAGGAAGCACGAACATGATGACACACCCAACGCGCCAGTGACTGAGCTGTGACTTATTCTGATTGCTTACAGCATTCAAAGCCAATCACACAGCGATTAGGCAGAAAATCCCCGTCCCCCATGGCAAAATCTCTGAGCCTCTCCCTGTACCTCTCGGTGCAGCTCTTGTTTGTTGGATCATTAGCAGTCGAGAAGATCTCGACAGAAGCGTTGATCCGCTGCTCAGAGCCTGTCGTTATCCCCTTGCAAGTATGATTTCCATCGGGAACGATGAAAACACACGTGTCATCACCAAGGAGTCCTTCGTTGGGAGCAAGAGCAACACTAACAACCTCGCCAAATGAGGTGGCATTAACGAGGGGTCGAGCATATAGGCCGTCATCTTCAGGTTCTAAGTCGACGGGGAGGTTTGGGAGCCTCAGTCCTCGGCAATTGGCCAAGACTGCAAACACACGCATCAATTGCAAAACGACCAGCCATCTCCATCTTCACCCCTCAGCCAAGAGAACTCAAGAAAGAAACACACATGCTTGTCACGCCACTGAGCGACTGCCTGGTGCCCGTACCTTCTCTTCCATCGATCAGATTTCCCAGCTGGCCCTTCACACAGCGGCAGCACACAGACAGACACGTGTGTGTGGTGTGGCTCGAGAATGACTGAAGTACCTTCAGAATCAAATCAAGCGACACGCCTGTCTCCGCGTTGAAGAGGTCGAACGATCGAGCATCAGACGCATTTGTACACAGAATGGACACACGGACTTGAGGGAACCTGACGGGCAAGTCTAACTCGTCCAAACACGAAAAGTCGTTTTCCGTGATGACAAAGAATCTGTCTCCGATTGCGGCGCTGCTGAAGGATAGGTCTGGCGACAGAGATTCTGGCTTGTAAAGGGGGGAGAAGATGGTCGGCAGGAGCTCTCCTTCGAGGGTACGGCTGAAATCCTCGCGAAGAATAAAAAATGACGGAGCTTGTTCTGAACGGACGCCAGTAACATTGTCGTCACTCATATTCATCTCGTTCACACATATCTCACTGCACTCCCGGAATGCATCTCGATTATCGATAGCGAACTGACTGGCCTCCAGGGGGTTCTGACGATGTGAAGGGAAGCGAGACATACACGTGTATATGAGCTTCCCTTATCTAACAGTGCACTGACCTTTCGGAAAATTTCGTCAGATGCCGTGTTTCTTGCATATCCTGAGGCAGCCAGTGCAAGGATGCCGCCCGCCGCGGTCTCGCCAGATGTCACTGAGAACGCTCGCTGGTTGAGCAGGACATCACAATCACCAGGCACGTCATCGGGGAATGTCAGGAGGCCGAGACTCGTGTTGGCCGCGGGCGAGAGAATGCCGACAGCCCGTGCAGTGACAAGATCGTCCTGTGTCTCGTTGCCGATGATGAGAATCCGCTGGGTCTGGTTGTACTCGAACTGCTGGGCAATAAGAGACTCCGATTCGTCCACAAAGCCCGTCAAGGTGACTTCGATCTGCGCCTCAATTTCTTCGCATGCCGGGTTGCTGGCCTTCTCGACTTGCAGCACGCCTTGGATGGTGGCGACGGCCGGTATCAGTTCGTTGCCAGTGCGATTCGAGCACAGGCCGGTATCGGGGCAGGTGAACTGGAGGGTCACGCTGACGCCCTCTGTCGTGTTGCACGAGAGGTCTAGGAAGAAGTCATCGAGCCCATTGCTGTCGTTCTTCTTGCCCTGAATCCTCATGCAGCTCGACACATTGCCAGTGCCCACGTTCTCGATGGTCTGCAAATAGGCGTCAGAGGGCACGTCTTCGAACAGGTAAGTGCCGGGCACCAGCTGGGCGAACGTCGATTCTTGCGGCACGGGAGGCGGGTCGTTTGGCTTGACGCTCTGCTCTCGTGGGTTGGGCCCAATGTCTTCCCTTCTCTCGACGACGGGCAGGCTGCCCGCACAGTCGAAGGGCACAGCGAAGCGGTTGACGGCATTGAAGCACGGATCCAGCTCGGCCGGGAAACACAGGGACGATGGCTGGCCGCTGGCGACGCCCCTGACGAGGCTGACATCGCCGCGCGAGAAGTTGGCCACCTCACCGAACAGACCAATGCTCTCCTCGATGCAGTAGCAGAAGCGGGAGTCGCTCGTGCGGGCACAGATGGGCTTGTCCGACGGACAACTGACAGTCAGGCACACACGGAAGAATGATGGTGCCATCACATGAGACGAGCAGTCCGTACCTTCCCAGTGCCGCAGTGCCGAGGGCCGCCGCCGTGATGTTGCCATCTTCCACGACACTGGGCTCTCCACAGATAATGGACTGATTCTCTCCTGATGCGCTCACGTCGCCGGCGGTCTCCTCATCGGTGGTCAGGGCATCTGTCTGTTGCTTCTTGAGCTCTTCCTGGGCGTTATCCTCATAGAAGCACTGGCCGAAGTTGCCGAGGTCGGGGTCGTCGACGATGGGCAGCAGCTCATTGGCCGCACAACTCGAATACATGATCTCATCACCATCTTCGCCAGGGATCACGACTGAAGAAGCGAAAGCCATTCACAACAGCTTGTTGTTCACGTGCCTCTGTTGTGCTTACTTGGCTGGCAGTCTGCGTTTGTTTCGGTCGGCCGTTCGTCGTCGTCTGTTCTGTTGTTGTTGCTCAGACAGGCCGTCGTGAACTGAGCCACAGTACCCCTCCTCGCCCATTGACTCAGCAGAACGGAAAGCAACGCCACAAGACGGAGGGCTCGCCGCATACGAAAAAGCGCAACGCCCAAGAATTTACGTACATCACAGCCGTTGAGCTGTACAATAGCAAGATGAGGCTGTTGGTCGTCTGCTTCGCTCTGTCCGCGCTCCGTGCGCGTTCCGGGTTGAATGCCCCATCACGTCAGGACCCCCCGGCCCCCCCTCCGTCCGCGGCGGCGTCAGTGCAGGAAACCGCAGCAGTGCATCCGTTCACCGACGAGACCGACCGCGGTCGAGGCGCCACCGGTCAAAATGGTGAGCAGAGAACGACACAGAACCGGCACTGCTTCTGTGGACGTCTGGGTGCATGATGCGTCGTACAGATCGCCCTTTTCTCCGTCGTACGCAGTCCGACTCCGACAAGAAGGCCAAGCCAGAGCAGGATTATGACGAGGTCTGCTGCGATGATTGTGTGTATTACGCCCGAGTCAGTTTATGCGAATTGTACTGCGATGATGACTTTTGCTGATGACGAGACATCCGCCTTCAGGCCAGGTTGTAGTGCCGCGTTGCGCAGAGATGTATGTACAGCCGTCTCTGTGACCTCCTGTGCTTCGTCACTGGTGAACTTTTTGTGTCGTGACTGACTGGGGCACACACACACGGGCAGCGACATTGTCTCACCCATGACTGTCTCACCCATGAACACGCAGCTTGTTTCGCCGAAAGCACGCATTAATCTCTACTAGACATCTACTTATGGACAGCGCAGTGGAGAAAGACGTGTATAGGTCGTCGACGTCAAGTGTGGGCACACAGTGACAACTGCCGTGCACCGCGTGACCCCTCACTAATGCGTCAATCAACGGATGCCGTCGGTCAGCCGACGAAGACACGCTCTCGAGCGTGTCGATGTGCTGCTTGCTTATGTGACAATCAAATCGCACACACAACAGCCAACGGACACGCAGAAATGCAAGCGCTCGCCGTCGGCGTGCTGTTCTGTATACTCACACATGGGGCAATCCACCAGAGGGGTGTTCCACTGTCCGAAGCACGTGTCGCAAAAGGCTGACATCGACACAACAACACGACATACACGGACGCAGAAACAGACAAGTGGTCGACACGTGGTGGTGGCTGACCCACCTAAGTGTTTGCAGAAGGAGTTGGGTTGGCTGCCCGACAGTCCATCGTCTGACGAGCGTGTGGCCCTATGTTTGCTGGCTGGCTCCGTCTCCCCTTAGCGGCCAGACCATCGATGATCGCCTCACGCCGCGCTACCTGAGAGACACACCACCGACAGACCCGTCCAGCGGTGCAGACACGCCATCACTCGACCACTGTGTGCGCGTGCGCGTCCGCACCTCCGCCTGCAGTCGACTCTTGTCCTCGGCGAGGCGGCTGCTCTCCCCCGTGGCCTCCCTCACCTCTTCCACGAGCTTCTCATTCATCCCCCTCTCCCTCTCTACGTCGCTCTCCAGCTCCTTCACCCGCCCAATCAGCATGTCGGTCGCCCTCACCCGAAGGGTCTCGTACACACGGGCAGTCTTGTGCGTTGTCTTGTCTTGTCTTGTCCTGTCTTATCTTGTCCTGTGCTGTTTTGTCGGTCGGGGGTGGCTCACGGGTCAGGGTGGTTGGCTTTGAGTTCCTTGATCTGCTCTTCAGCGTCTACCAGGCGCTTCTCGGCGCCATGCTTCTCCTCCAAACACCTGAACCAAGCATAGCACATGGATAGACAGAAATGTGCCCAGACACACGCAGGCGAGCGCACCTGTTGTATTTGTCGTTGATGTCGGTCGCGTATTGCATCAGCCGCTCACTATCCCGGATCTGCTGCTTCAGCTGCGACTGGCTCGTCGCGCAGTAGCCAGACAAATCGCCACAATTCCATACAGACAGCACACAGCACAACAGATGCCGACAAGTCACGAGCTGGTGCCTGTGTGGGGTGAGGGAGGTAGCTGTCGATTCGGTCTTTGAGCTCCTGTATCTCCCTCTGCTTCTCGCGCAGCTTCCGGCTCAGCTGCAGGTTCTCGTCCCTCAGCTCGACATGCTCCATCAGGTTGCGACTGTCCTCCGTGCGCATAGGTACTAGTAGGGGGTAAGGAATGGGCTCACTGAACACACACAAACATCACACAAGGCATACACACGCCACCCAGCCCATCGCGTTTTGCCGTGTTTGTTACCTGACAGCGGCCTCTTCCATCGAGCTATCGCCAGACAGGTTATCCAACAGCAGACTGCTACCGCGCCCCACCGCCACGTCACCGCTACCGTCACACCCGTTCTCGCCCTCCCGCCCCTGCTCCTCCCACCTTGCCTCTCCCTCCTCTCTCCCTGCGCTTCTCTTCCTCCATACTCGCTATTCGTCTCGTCCTGTGCCGCCACAGACGCCTCTTCCTGCTCGCGCGAGCTGCTGCTGCTGCCGTTGAGCAGCGCCTCACGCAGCGAGAGGGACTGTGCAGCAGGTGGGATCCCATTGTTGCAGCCTTCTTGTTCTCTGATTGAGCCGAAACAGGCTCCCAGCCGCCCCGCACCCGAAGGGGGCGTCTCACGGTCGTTGGCCGAGGCCGGCATGCTGCTGCTGGAAAGCCGCAACCGGTTTCGGGCAAGCAGGAGACAAGCAAAAGTGCTTCAATGAACAAGAGAGCTCCTCGGTGCCGCCCAAGAATTTACGTACATCACAGCCGTTGAGCTGTGCAAGATGAGGCTGTTGGTCGTCTGCTTCGCTCTGTCCGCGCTCCGTGCGCGTTCCGGGTTGAGTGCCCCATCACGTCAGGACCCCCCGGCCCCCCCTCCGTCCGCGGCGGCGTCAGTGCAGGAAACCGCAGCAGTGCATCCGTTCACCGACGAGACCGACCGCGGTCGAGGCGCCACCGGTCAAAATGGTGAGCAGAGAACGACACAGAACCGGCACTGCTTCTGTGGACGTCTGGGTGCATGATGCGTCGTACAGATCGCCCTCTTCTCCGTCGCACGCAGTCTGACTCCGACAAGAAGACCAAGCCAGAGCAGGATTATGACGAGGTCTGCTGCGATGATTGTTTTTATTACAGAAATGTTCGTGACTGTTACGATCAGTGCAATGATGACTTTTGCCGATGACGAGACAGCCAACCCGTCTTCAGGCCAGGTTGTAGTGCCGCGTTCAGTGCCGCATGCATTGTCACTGGTGAATTTTTTGTCTTGTGACTGGCTGGGACGCCCACCGACGGGCAGGGACCTTGTGAAATGCTGAACACAAACCCGTTTCGTGTTGTGGTGTGGCTCTGGTGACTTCTGCTGCTGGTTTGCGGACCGTGCTTCGTGAGCCGTCAGTGCGTGAAGCGACACCTCACTTTGTGAGGCAATGAGTTTCTCTCCACGTGCGTTGAGAGAGACAGTGACATTCGAGATATACCGGAGAGAGCGGCCTGTACAGCACGACCAGACGGTGCAGCAGCGGTGTGTGTGGACAGGGAACCAAGTACACATGAGATGAGGAGCGGTGTATACACAATTGTGTCAACAGTCATCATGCCAGCAGTTGGTGCTTTGGCACGGTGATAGATTCTGACATACACAAAATGCTACCGTGAGGCACTGGCAGACAGACAGACCTAGTTCGCTCTCTAGAGCCCAACAGGATGTCTGTGTCCTTTACGCCTCCTTCTCAATCAGATAGGTCACCCCGTCGCTCCTGCTGAAATCGTAGGTCTCGTGGTCGACTAGATTTGTGTCGCTCAGCTCCAAGTTGTAAAAAGACACGGGATGCGGCTGATCAAACAGGGGGCCGGCATGCCATGTGCCGATCTCCATCTTGATGAACGCATCACCTGCAGAAACCAGACGCACAACACATTCATTCATTCATTCATTCGTGAATCCCTCATATGTGCCCATCTTCTATCCCATCTCACCAGGTATTCGAAAGACCTTGAGCCTCTCCACATCAGGGCGGCTGCTGCTGAGGTCGGGAGGCGCCACGGCCATGTACCACGGCTCGCCATTGATAGCACCCAGGCATTGAGTCACCTGCTTGTGCCTCGTGATGGTGCTGAAGGAAAGGCCCCGCTGCGGCAGCCTCATAATGTAGAATCGAGGCGTGCCCCTATCCAGCTGAAGCGCTGCATCTTCGTCGTTGAACTCCTTCCCATCAACCTGTGCCTGTTGCAACTGAATCATACACACATAATGAGGAAGATGTGCGATGAATGTCAGTCTGTGAAATCGCGTGTGTGCATGCGCTGTACCTGCCCGTAGGGCTTGAAGTTGTCAACGGTGACATTCTCCGCTCGAATGAGCTTGATCTGCGGCTCAGGTCCACTCATCTCACCGTTTGGAACCAATCGAAAACACGCGACGGGGACGATGAGTACTGAGAGAGCCGCCAGAGGCGTCAAAGCCGTGACTTTCATCCGAAATGCCGACGAGCTCGCCAAATGGATCGGGATCTCGGCTCGCACAAGAACCGCGTTCCGAAGTGCTTGAGGCTGATGGCGGACTCTAAGGGCACGCCCACACCAGGATCTGACGAAGTTGTGGTGATTGGTGTGAAGAGGAAGCGCACCGACGAGCCCATCCCGACGCTCTTCATCGCTCCGCCCAGCAAGCGCCGCCACGCCGGCCACCCCGCACCTCAGCCCTTCCGCTTCGTCACGTCCGTGTCGACGAACGACTTCCGCACGAACCGCGATGACATCCTATCGAAGCTGTCGAAGCAGTCCAGGGTCTCCCTCAGAGGCGAGGCGGAGAGGATAGGCCTGTCTGGCAAGGATGGATCAGCATCGGCCAACCGCATGCGTGACCAGAGCTACCGCCGGCTGCTGATGGAGAGGCTAAGTCAGCTGTCGCGCTTGCGGGAGGTGGGTCGGCATCGCGGCCTGGGGATGCCTGACGGCACCCACGTGAGCCTGATAGAGGTGGTGGGCAAGCAGGAGATGACCGCCCCGTGCCCATCTGACGAGCAAGACCCGCCCCAAGAGGACCGATGCGAGGATGAGGAGACCGTTCGACAGCGGCTGGAGGGGTTGCTGGGCTCGGCTGAGGGCGGCCAGGAAGCGATTGATGACGACTTTGACCTGTATGTCATGGATCGGTCATCGTATGGTGGAGGGTCATCGTACGACGACCCCATCGAGTCGCTCATGGTGGATGGCGATAGCACGGCGGCGGCCGACAGGTGTGCGCTGGTGGAGCTGGAGGACGGCGGGTATAGCATTTTCGACTACGGAGAGCTGGGCGAGACGAGCGACGACGACCCTGAAGACGGTGAGCATCCACTCGCCCCAACACACACACAGCGGCACTTGTATGACGTGTGTCGTGGGTCCGTGCCTGTGTCAGAGGATGGGAAGGAGATCGATTACCCGGACGAGCCGATGGGCGAGGAGGATGGCGTCGGTTCACAGGACAGCTGGCCGGATGACGATGACGTCGGTGTGCCGCGAGACAACCTCTCCGACGACTGGTCCGACGAGGGGGAGCAGAAAGACCGCAGCTACCACTTCAATGTCGGGGACGTCATGAAGCAGCGACTGGAGCAACTGAGGCCCTCACACGAAGCCATCAAGTGAGTGCGTAACCAGCACACACACACACATACATACATTAGTGGCGTAGTGGCGTTCTGGCTTCCTTCATACATACATTAGTGGCGTTCTGGCTTCCTTCATTCTGTCCTGGTGTGACCAACCGACACACAGGATGGCCACGACGTCCCCTGCACCACCACCATCACCACCAGCAGCCGATGGTTCAGAGCGTGAGATGACCGACCAGGAGGTGTTCCTGCTGGGCGCCCGCAAGTACTGGGCCAGCCTGCAGGATCCGCCCCGCACCTCCTTCTATCCCGGCAAGAGGAACACGGCCCCAACAGCCGACGAGCCAATGGACAAGCTCCCGCCCGACCTGCGAGGCAGCGGTGACGAGGGCAAGAGCAGCAACGATGAGATCAGCAGCGGCAGCGGTGATGACGAGCCACTCACCCATCCCGGGTTCATCAGAAGGAGGTCAGAGCACGAGGTGTGGCGGGATGAGGCGGAGGTCCCGCAGCCGACCCAGGCTCATGTGCGCCGAATGGTGAAGCAGAAGATGGGCAGTGGCGGTGCGGCAAAGGGATCGGCTGACGGCAAGTCGGGTAGCTTCATGGAGAGGCTGCGTGCGCTGCAGGAGGCGGAGGACGAGTGGGAGAAGGGCAAGGGCAGGGCGGGAGGCAGGGTGGTGCGTTTCGACAAGAGACAGGGGGCGCGTTAAACGAGGGATTTCCTGTGGTTGACTGCTGGGTCCTCTGTGGGTGCATGTCTGCGGTTTGGGTGGTGGGTTCATGCATTGACTCAAGGGTACTCCGATTTGCTTGCGCATGTGCACCGTTCTCTTTGATTCAGCATCGAACCAATCGATCGATCCCTCGACAAAATACGGCACGTCATTCGATCGCACACCTTCGGGGACACACACACACACTCGCGACACCGCGTCAACACAAAGCTCAACAACAGCCCACAGTTAAGGCACCCATCACCGACCTGCCCCCCGTACACACACACACACACCCATAACATGCCATGACATATCCACAGTGGCCAGCCCGCGCTCTTGTTTGTCACTCATGTGTCATAGGGAGACCATGCTAGTGCCGCTCTTGGCGTGTCATCTCGCCCAGCCGCACTCCATGTGACGGCCACACCAGCTGTGAAGCGATTTGGCGGAGACATGGAAAGGGCCTGCAACATGACACGCCAGGCAGCATGGGAAGCAGGATCGAGGCAGGGGAAAAAGGAAATGGATACAGTACCTTCTACTGGGTGCTTAAATGCACCCCGCATACGGACATACGCACGCCACACCCACACCACGCCATAACGAGTACAAAACACACCCACACACCCGCTTGCACTCACCTTCCTACATTACCCAACCAGCACGCGCGCCCACCCACTCCAAAACTGCCTGTCTGCCTCTCTGTCTGTCTGTCTGTCTGTGTTTTGCAGAGGCAAAACTGTGCAGCACCATCCTGCCCATTGGCCAAGCAAGGCTCCCGCCTATGCCACCAAAAAAAGCACTGCAGCGCCCTGCGTGTGTGCGTGAGTGAGTGACCCTGCTGTGTATGATGGCATCTATAGGCCTATGCTACCCCCCTTTGTGCTGCCTGTGCGGCCTTCTTTGCCTCCTTCCTGGCCCGTCTTTCCGCAGCCATTCGTTTCCGCTTGGCTTCGTCCTGCTCGTGCCACACACGCGTTACCTCATGGCAGAACTGACACCACACAAACCCAAAGTGCTCAATGGGCGATTCTCGCCGCAGCTGAGTGTGTTGACCACTCACCTCGTCGAAATCTATCTTTCCGTTTCTGTCTCTGTCGAACGCCCTGAATCGCGCGTGCATCTGCTTGTGTGTGAACGGGATGCCCACAAGTCGAAATGCCATGAGTGCCTCGGTCTCGTCGATGAAGCCGCTGCCGTCCGTGTCGAGCGACGTGAAGGCCCACGTGAGGAACCGCTGCCTCAGGAAGGGGATTTTCCGGAACATGTCCACGGGGTGCCGTGAGACCTCCAGGATGGTCCACGTCGACACGCCCGATGCGCCACCGACCGAGAAGATCAGTGCGCCTATCGGCCGAAAAGCCCACGAGAAGAGGGCTGACAGGCCACCTGCAGACGTGCAGAACACGCATGTGCGTGGGTAGGTGAGTGGATGGGTGCATTGGGCCGGCGGGAACTCACCGATGACTGTTGTTTTGAAGGCCAGGATGACGACATTGATGAAGTGGACGATGTTGTGGCCAATCATGTGGCTGATGCTGTGCTCGACGCTCTTGTGCAGAATCTTCTTCGTCCGGGAGTGCAGCTTGCTTGCCACGTACGCTCCTCCGGGCCAAGCCTTCGCACCCACGACATCGCCCTCCTCGGACAGCTCATCGCCCGACACATCGACGGTGCCGCCGCCATCACCACCACCACCGCCTCCTGCGCTGCTGCCGCCATCTGCATGACACACACAGTCATCAGATGGAGCCATCTCCGCTCGTTTTTCTGTTATCTTTCGCACCTGACAGAACGACAGAGCTGCCAGCAGCAGGACTGGCTCTCCGTCGGGTGCACGATGGCCTCAGAAGGCGAGTCCGATATGGCGGAAGTGATATGAAGGATGGTTGCCGGCATCTGAGGAGGGCAAGTGATGAGGCAGCGGCGAGGGCCGGCAGCAATAGCACAAAGGCAAGCTGCATGACGAGATCTTTTTGATCCGTTGCGATCTCAGCTTGCGTGGCGAGCTTTTGAAGAAGGGTCGAAGGGAAAGAGAGGAAAAAGAGGCTGTGGGAAGCAGCCATGATGAGGCAGATGCGGATCTTGCAATGGGATTTCGCCTCATCTGCTTGATCTACGCACGGTGGAGCAGTCTGAAGGTCATCGTATGAATTATTCGCGATGGTAGCTCCTCCACTGGACGTCGAGCTCATCGACAAGCTGGTGGGCAAGTGGCGGAAGCGGTCACACAAGAAGCTCGTCATCGAAATCACCCAGGTACGCACACAAACACTCACACATCATAGACGGAATGCCAGATCAGGCTGATGGCAGCGCAGCGCCCCATATGAATGTGTGTGTGTGTGTCGACGCATTGCTGCAGGCCAAGGACAACCCCTCTCTGCTGTTGTTCCACGACCCCTCAGCAGCATCCGGCTCTCTCCTCTCGTGGGGCTCTCCCACCAGGCCGGAAGGGGCGCCCATCGAGATCCAGACAGATGACGACGGCGAGCCCTTTTTCCTTGTCCAATGGGCAGAGAAGCGTTGGGGTGTGGCGAGGTTCACCCTGGGAAGCCGGGAGGACGAGATGATGGAGAAGAGGCAGCACCACTGGGACCGCTTTGAGAAACCCAGCAGAATTAAGGTCCCAATGCACCCACACCCACAAGCCACACCCAAGCCACGGAAGACTGCTCATGAGGCCAGCACCGCCACCACCATCGGCAGCGGCAAGGTCACAGGCGGCGGGAAGGAATCCTCTGTGCCGTCCCCTGTGCCACAATCCGTCCAGCTTGTGGATGACGACGTCGAAGGAAGCGCAGACGGAGGAGAGGACGAGGAGGAGGATGGATCGCCGCTGCTCGAGCCGCCCACCGACGAGCCAAGCGAGGCTCCCTTGTGGCGTGACGCGGTATTTCAGGCCGCATATGGGCTGGCGGATGATGCAGCCGAGCCGCTGGGTCCGTCAGAGGCACTCCAGCAAGCCGTCCAGGCTCTTGAATTCGCCAGTGAGTCGTACACGCATCTCGCAACGGCCCTCCCGGCCCCCTACGCAGAGGATGCAGACGGCGTGGCCGGGCGAGTGCAGCCTTTCATTACCAGTGTCAGCGGCGAGCTGCGGCAGGTCCTCGACAGCTGCCGGTCCCTGACGTCGAGACTGCTGCCGGTCATCTCGGCGGGGGCGAAGCACCACACGGCCTTCTACACTTACGTGGTAGAAGTAGTGGCCCGTCTGCGACAGCTGGCCAGTGGGGGCAAGGGAGGCATCTTGGTGGCGCCTGTTGGCTGGCTGGCCAAGGGAGAGTCGGCTGACAGCGATGATGCTTCGGTGAGGCTGGTGTATCTCGTCATCACCAAGGCCGACAACTCACAAGGCCCCCCGAACGAGAGCTTCTTCGACGTGTCGGTCATCAGCTCGTGCGACAGCGCCCTTGGCTACCACCCCGTCACCGCTGAGGCGACACCAGCAACAGCACAGCTGCTCTACCTCACCCCTCTGCCGTTGAGGCACATCAAAGCCGAGCGGCTCATCGACGGCAACTTTTGGACTTTAGTGCTGCGGCTGCTGGTGCATCCACAGCCAGACGAGGAGCAGGCGCGTATCCTCTATGACATCCTCCTCCCATCCGCCACACACACACCCGGCCTCTACAGCAGCGAGCACGGCAAAGACGAGGCACTCCTCTCCTGGTCACCCCCACCGCCCGTCAAGGACGACCCCACCAACACCCACCTGACCACGCTGCTGGTGCGCGAGACCCTCTTGGCTCTCGGCCTGACGAGGCAGGAGGCCGCACACCTTTCCTGCATCAACGCATGGGCCATGTGCGAGCGGCTCACACAGGACATCACCAAGCACTCAGTGACGCCGAGAGACGCCGCTCTGCTCAGCCAGGCCGCTCGGCACATCGCTGTAGGTGTGGCAAAGGCCACCCAGCAGTCGACAACGGATGGGGGGCATCACACACGGTGCAGAATCCCACTGGAGGGCCGGCACCTGGCTGCACTGCACGGAGCGCTCGAGCGGCTGAATGACTATGTCGAGCAGCGGTCTCTGCACCGGACGGAGAGGCGCGTGCTGGGAGGGCCGACAGTGAGGGCGGACGACGGGTGCAGTGACGTACGTGTGGCCGGCTGGGAGGAGTTCGACCTGATGGGCGGCTTTCGGCGTGACGAAGACGTCGACAAGCTGGCTGGCGAGGCGAAGGACCCCCCCGTGCTGGTGCCTGTGCAGCTGACAGACATCCCTGAGAAGGTGGGTGAAACAAAGGACACCCACACCCGCGGCCTCGTCTCTGTATGTATGTTTGTGTGCATCCTTGTCTGCTGGCTACTTCAGGTGGTGACCTTCGCTGACGTGTCCACAACACTGCGCAAATGCGTCCGCGTGTGCACGCTGCTGGCCAACCAGCGGTGTGACATCGACAATTCGGCTGCATTCCGTCTGGCATTGATCCAGCACCTCGTCACCAAGGTGCTGCCCGTTCCGTTGCCCCTAAGCGCCCCGGATCGTCCGGCCAAGTGTTTCTGGGCGTCACAGCAGATCACCAGAGCGGTGCAGCACGATATCCTGCGGTGAGTTGGCTATGCTACTGATGCACTGAATGAGGTGCATTGCTGTCTCGTGTCGTGTGGGAGGTGCTGCAGCCACTTGCACCTGATCGGCCTGCATCTCGTCACCGCGTCTCTTTCAGTCATCCCATCACGGTGACCAACCACCCCAGAAAGCTCCTCCAATCAACCAGTGCACCCATCGATGTGCTCTTCCTTCATTGGCTCGTTCGTCAGGCCCATCGATGCGTCTCGGCTCACATCGCTGGCCGCCCTGGCCACACTGGCCGACGCCACCGTGCGGTTGATGGCCACCGACGACCCGTCAGGTCTCTCCCGCCACTACGGCGGCTACCCCGACGGCCGTCCCTTCTGGTTCGACCTGACCGAGTTCGCCTCAGAGAGCGAGTACTTCATGTACGCCGAGCCGCACCTCGCCATTGTGCGCTGGCAGGTGAGAGACCTTACCTGACCCAAACACACACACACACACACACCACGTGTATGTGTGTGGAGTGTGCGCTGGTGCGTGCAGGTGCTGGAGTACCTGACAGAGCTCAAGGGGCTGTCGGCTACGTCGTCCGTTGGGAAGCAGCTGTTTCGTTTTGAGGATGGGATGGCGTTCGACACGGGCACAGCGGAGCTGCTGAACCGGCTGGCAGTCGACACGGCCTTCTCAACCGATGAGACCGATCTCGCTCAGTACTACACGGGCGAGAAAGGCGGCATTGCGACCCTTTTCCCAGAGCTAGGATACCTCCGCGACCTGGTGAGTGAGTGGGATTCACACACAGATGACCCTGTGGTCATCTGTCATCTGTCCTCACACGTGTCTGCCGGCCTTCTGCAGGTGTTTTATTTCAAGGCTCTCCTCAACCCCACCAGCGACCAGCTGCCCGCCATCCGGTCGTGGGACCCCGAATCGGCCGCCATCCAGTGGTCCTACACACACGCCAACAAACAGGGCAAGCTCGCCGCCTTCGCATTCGACAAGTCCCTCGAGTGCGCCAGATTTCAGAAGGACGACTACTACGAGAGGAGGTCGTCAGTGTGGTCCCGGATGTGGGAGTGGGTGGGGCTTGGGAAGGCACCCCGTGTGCCGCCGAGCAAGGCAGACCCGGCGACGCTGCTGCCCAAGCCGCAGAAGATCGAGAGTGAAGACGATCTGCTGCATGTGAGGGATATGCCGACGTTTGGTGGCGAGGCCGGGCAGAAAGGCGGGCTGATTGGGGAGGCCCTGTCGGAGCAGCTGCTGAGCTTCCTCACGGTACCGTATCTGCGCATTCCCCTCGTCATGACGTTCCTGGCCGACGCGGGCAGAGTGGACGCACTCACCGACGCAAATCTGCAGGTGTGAAGACAACACACTTTCCCACACACATAATATGGATGGTTGCAAGCCTGATGTGTACTGTCTCCCTCTTTGCGTGTATCTGTGCATCATCAGGGTGTGGTCGCAGCGGCCTTATTCGAACCGGGCGGCTGGTGCTCCTCATCTAACCCCTCTCCCCCCACCCAGGTGCCCACCCTCTCCGCTGCACACATCGCCACGCCGCTCGGCCTGCTGCTCAACGAACTCACACACAGCCCCGCCACGACACTCACAGCCATCGACAGGCTGCTCCAACTCGCCATGGACAAAGACACCGGCAGATACAAGAGCCCCGCGTGCCGTCTGCTGCTGTTCGTCGTGCGCATCATGGCGAGGGTCTTGGCGTTTGTCAAGGTGGTGAGAGAGCGGAATCGAGAGGGCAAGAACGACGGCCTGCTGGCCGAGTGGGAGAAGAGGGCGACAGAGCAGCTGACAGGGGTGGTGGCGAGGCTGCTGGCGGCTCTTGCGTTCCGGGCGGTGCAGGACCAGCAGATGGGATATGCCTGTGCGATCCACGCGCACCTCGTCTTGATCTTTTGCCGAGAGATGGGTGACGCCCCATCTGTGGCAGCCTTTGTCAGCAGCCTGGTCTTCGTCATGACCCACCACCGGTTGAGCATCGACGTGGCCGAGGGCAGCACCGTCAAGCGCGCTGCAGTATCATCGGACGAGGACGCCGCCGCGTCTCTCATGGGGCTGCCCGAGTGGGAGCTGATCGAGGTGTTCCAGACATCTCGCCACTCCCTCATCGCTTTCATGAAGACCAATCCCACTCACCGCAACACAATCCTCGAGCAATGCGTGCAGCTGGTCAGCTTCGCCTCTGGCGGCCCTCTGCTGGCCGACGCCGGCAGCAGCAGCAGCGACGCCGGGGCACGCTCCTGGGTCCAGCCGCTCATCCCTACACACTGGGAAGGCCGATTCGTCCCGCAGAACGAGCTGCCTCCTGCTGTCCGCGAAGGCCGTGTGGACGTCGCAATGCAGGGTGGCTCGTACGAGTCTTGGCTCAAGCAGCGGGTTGGCCGGCTGTCCGACTCTGAGATGAACCTGCAGTTGGGCGACTTCTCTCTCCGCAGTCAGCAGATGAAGCTGCTGGGGCCGTGGGTGAACTCGTTTGCCGATTTCCGCGCACTGTTCGGCGGTGTGGGGGCTGACAAGGCGTTCCAGTGCGCCGAGGTGCGGCGTGCCACCAAGCGGCTGACACTGCAGCTGGTGGCCGAACGATACACTCTGGAGGTGGGACAGACAGACAGAGGAAGGGAGAGAAATGTGTGGATGTCCCTGCTGTGTGTGGTTCATTCAGAAATGGCGTGCCCCTGACGGCCCGGCCAGCTTGCCCAGTGGCTTCAAGAAGAGGTACCGTGTTGGTGGCCGTGGCCTGACGGCGGCACACAGATGGGCACTGCCACTGCTGGACCCCTTTATCAAACGATACCTCACAAGTAGGTCGTCGAGTCAACCAACAAAGAGAGACCAGACCCCCTTTGATCAACCTACCTTATGTGTGCGTGCAGACCTCCCGGTGTATCTCTCATCCGATCATGTGTCCGACCCCACCACTCTCCGGCTCGCCTTCCTCGCCACCCACACCACCACACACAAGGACGCCCGGGGCAACACGCACAAGACCACACACACCCGCCTGCGCGAGATCCACCTCAAGCACACCCACGACGACAGGTCTCCCTTCCTGGAGCTCTATGACGTGCAGGAGTGCGGCCGCCGTCACTACCGCTCGCTGGTGTACTCGACCAACGCGTCCATGACGCTTCACAACCCCTCACCAGTGGCCATCTTTCACAGCGGTCGGTACCCAGTGCTGCAGGGGGGTCTGCCCGCGCCAGTGGTGCCGAAGAGTGACGAGAGCCTGGTGATCCAGCGGACTGTGGGGGATGTGGTGCAGGAATACGTCCCACCGAGGTTCCTGGCTGGTACGCACAGGGGGAGAAAGATCGCCACCGTATGCGCACAAAGGTGCCTTGGTGTCCCATTTCAGGTTTGCTGCCGAGTGCCCTGATCGAGGCATACGAGTTCTGGCAGAAGGTGGGGCAGGGGGTCAAGGAGCTCATCGGCTACCAGCTCCCGCACAGCAGAGAACGCTCCCGCACTCCGTCGATCCTACTCGTGACCGTCCATCCCTCACACACACACGCCTTCCGCTCCACGGCCACCGTCACGCGCCACACGACCACTCTGCCCCCGGCCGGCCACCTGGGGATGGACCCAGCAGCTTCTCGGGCAATCGATGGCCGCCCACTTGTGTGGGATGAGATTGACAGAGAGGGGGAGGCGATGGTGCTGATGAACGCGCAGAGGGTGATAGGTGGCCGGGATGACTGCCCGCTGAAGCGGCTGCTGATGGTCGTGATGCGCCTGGAGAACCTGTCGCACGTGCTGGTGTGGCGGGAGAAAGCCGGTGGGGCGTATGTGGTGGAGATGCCGCGAGTGGACCTGACTTTCACGGGCAGCGGGGATGGCAATGGGGCCTTCTACTGCGAGCAGCATAGTGGATTGTTCGTCAGCCGGATGGACCCGCTCTCGTGTGACAGGACGCGACGGCTGCTCGCCGGCCTTCCCAACGTCATTCTGCTGGTACACACATGCACAACACACATACGGTTCCTTGGTGTTCCATGCCTATGGCTCTGTGTGTGCAGGAGAGTTCTCACGAGGAGTTGTATCTGCTTATGGCTGCGACGGGCAAGCCGATCAGGGTGCGGGAGACAGTCGACATTCTGTTCAATCGGGAGGACAGTGAGTGGGGGGAGGCGGGTATGCGGCACTTCCTGTACCCCATCCACGTGTCGCGGACGTTCGTCTTCATCCCCACTGCCGAGGCGTCCCTGTGGATGCTCCTCATGAGGCTCATGAGTGGCCAATACGAAGAGGTACGCACAAGGGGTGGTTGAAGGCTGGAAGAAACCACGCCCCAACCTTCTTCTTTGTTGCGCGTCTGCAGGTGTTCTCTCTCTCCGAGACGGCGTGTGTGGTTGACGGCACCCTCACCGACGCACAGCAGCTGCTCTGGGACGCCTTCATGCACACCCTCACCGACCGCCCGCCGTTCCCCCACCCAGACATACACGCCCTTCGCCTAAAGCTCCTCCTCAACGCTCGTGCGGCAGGCGCGCCGGCACGCCTTTTCGCCCCCATCTCGGCAACCACCGACGTGCGCTCGTCCCTTCTGGCGTACGTCCGCAACGCGCGACACATCAGTGCGGAGTGTCGGCTGACGGCGGATGAGCAGTCGACGCTGTTTGCCTATGTGGGTGCGTCCATGGTGGGCGACATCGAGCTCGTCAACCGCCGGTCGCTTCTAGACGCCGTCAAGCCACGGGTGCATCGATCGCTCTCTGGGGCGGGCATGTCACTGGGAGGGGCCGTCAGGGAGGTACGCAGAAGGAGAAACACCCACTCGTTTGCCATCTCTCGCTCACAGTTGGGTGTCTGTCGTCTCTCTGTGTCAGGTGGACATCAAGTACCCATCTCTCCCGGCCCTCCATCCATTCGACCGACCATCACGCGGCGACGGGCAGCTCTCCCTGGGCTCATGGCTCGACCAGGCCCTCGCCTCTGTGGGTTCCATCGGCATCATCGATCCCGCCCGACCGTCGGAGGGGCAGCACGAAGGGCCGGGTGCCATCGAGTGGCTCGACGCTCTCATGGGCAGCGGGGGCGCGGGGTGTGTCGGGCTGAGGCATTTCTTTGTTTTCTATGACCTCATGACGTCCAGGCTCCCCGTGCGAATCCTCCCGGATGACTCCTCCCACAAGTTGGGTGGGCTGCTCCTGAGGTTCCTCCCACCCAGGTCAATGACTGACATGACACACCACATGAGGACAAAAGGGCCTCATTTTCTCGTCCGTGTCGCCGTGAGTGCAGGGATTTCTCCGCCGACAGCGGGCTCACATCGGTGCTCCGCGCCATGGCCGCCGACCCGTCCTTCGCCAAATCCATGCCCATCCGCAAGACGGAGGAAGACAACAAGGATCCCGGCAGCGGCAGCAAAGCCAAGAAGGACACCCCCATGGCGGCCATAACGTCGTTCTTCAACGTGGGCGCCAAGAAGGAGCGGCTGCAAGCATTCTTCGCCGACCTCAGGAGAGCCATCGAGACGGCAGAGAGGCCGGCGAGTGACGATGTGGCCGAGATGAGTGCCTACGTGCCGCCTCGAAAGGTCTTCGTGAGGCCGTTCGACCACCCCAGCAACCGGTAGGTGGGGTGATGGGAGGGGGCAGAACAGGCGTCACAGATCTGCGTGTGCTTATGTGGGCAGTGAGTTCTGGTACTGCTATCGCGGCGGAGACAATGCATGTGGCGAGCGGGTGATCGAGCCATTCTCTGTCGACCACTCTGATAACGGTGTGCAGAATACCCAACAAATACACACGCGTGTGCATTTTTCTCCCTCTTTACCTCTATCAGGTGCTTCTTACCACATCGATGCGGCCCTCCTGCATGCCCTGTTCACCAAGCCGATGGCACCCATCGACCTGTCGGCGTATGTCAACCACGTGACGCAGAGTCAGCTGGGCCACGACAAGGTGTCCGCTGTGATGCCCTTCCACCTGTCCAATCATTCTGTGGCCAAGACGCCAGTGGCTGTGGAGATGAGGAGACGACTCAAGGTGGAGATGGATGGGCCGGAGAGATGACGAGCCGGAAATGGCTCATGCATGTATCATGTTTGTTTGTACGTTTGCTGAACTTCAGGACGATTTGTGTGTGTATGCTGATGGGGTGAACAAGGGCATGACGCCCGTGCTGATCGGCCTCATGGAGACGGAGATCCCATCCACTCTCCAAAACGGTACAGCACACGACATCACATCACACCACACCACCCCATCTCTCTACGCGTCTCTTCGTCTGCTTCGCACCATCAGAGTTAGCCCTGACCAACGTGCTGCAGCGGCTGAAGACCCTCTATCGGCAGCTGACGGCAATGCGGCAACAAGACCAGAAAAGAGGTGTCGACCTGATGCAGCGCGCCGTGCGGCTCGCCAACAGATGCTGCGAGACATCACGTGAAGAGGCCGGTGGCCCAGACGTGCGCAAACACGCCCTTGCGCTTGCCAAGAGCGGTGGCCACGAGCCCAGCCTGGCTTTTGACGCCCTGGTGGCCCTGCTTACCAGCCAGCAGGCCACATCCACCCTGCAGTGCATCAACCCCCTCCTCTCCCCCGAACAGCACACGCGGCTTCTCTCTCTCACTGCTGTGGCCCTGCTGCTCATCAACCGCACCTCGCAAAGCGACAGGTGCCTCCGGTCCTGTGCTGGGCTCATGCGGCTGCTCGCCAGCGACGGCACAGATAGGAGTGTGGACGCAGTGCGGCTGAGGGCGGGCGAGCTGGTTGGGAACCTGTGTGCGGAGAGGCACTATGGGTCGGTTATGAGCGAGGGGGGCGGCGTGCGATACGACCCCCGGCTGCTGGTGTTTGAGTTCGCGAGCACCTTCCTGCTGCGTGAGGCGCAGACGATACTCATTGACAAGTTTGTGGGGGCGGCATCAGGTGGTCAGTCGCTGTGTCACCAGATGATCATGGGAGCTGGAAAGGTAACAAGAACAGAGCACTCGGACACTATGGGTGGGTGCGTGTGTGACACGTGTATCCATCCATCCTTGATGCAGACGACGGTCGTGGGCCCGCTACTGTCCCTGTTGCTGGGCAGCGACAGGTCGCTGATTGTGCAGGTGGTGCCTCATGCATTGCTCGAGTTCACCCGCAGCGTCCTGCGGGAGCGATTCAGTGCCATGATTCGCAAGCCGATCCTCACCTTCCACTTCGACCGGTACGACACGGTGACTCCCGAGCTGCTGATGCGGCTGCAGAATACGCGAGAGAATGGGGGTGTAATGATATGTGACCCGACCTCACTCAAGGTGGGTGGGTGGGTGGGTGGGGGGAGGTGCTGGCGTGGCTGTACCATGTGTGTCCTTTCAGAGTTTCATGCTCAAGACGGTGGAGCTGCTGCTGTCGCTCGACCGACACGCAAAGGTAGGTCGGTGGGCATCTGCCTTGATCGCCAGTATGTCATGTGTTTGTCGGGTGTGTCGGTCTGTCAGGTGAAGCAGCAGCTGGCCATGATGCAGGAGGGCACCGACACCGACGACTCATGGGGCCTCGGCAAACTCGCCGGCAGCGTCGAGGCGGGCATCAGGAAGCTCGTCGGCATGGGCAGCAATGACGCGCTAAAAGAGGCCAAGAAAGGTCAGCTGCATTCTAGCTGTTGATGCACCAACAGCCGTCCTTTTCTCTTCGCGTGTGTTGTGTGTTTTCAGGTCTGTTGGCGGCTGTGTTTGGCGACGCTGAGCTGAGCGGTGTGCGTGACGAGGTGTCGCTGTGCTTCGACATCCTGATGCTCTTCCGCTCATCCACGCTCATACTCGACGAGGTCGACCTCATCCTACACCCACTAAAGAGCGAGCTAAACTGGCCTATCGGTAACACCGACAATGCACAGATGGTCTCCCCCACCTCACGTGTGTTGTGAGTGAGTATGGTTGGTAGGTCTGAAGTACCCGCTGGATTTCACCCGCCCCGACCCCTCACACAAGAAGGACAAGCGGGCCAGTGACGGTGTGAATGCGCCGCTCGAGCTGGGTGTGAGGTGGCAGATGCCGTGGCACCTGCTCGACGCCATAGTCTTCTGCCAGACGGGCAAGATGACCGTCAACTTCCAAGACAGCAGGTGAGTGACGACACCATCAACACGCTGATACATGCCTGCATACCCGTTTCTGTCTGTGGTGTGTGTTGGTCTCAGCGAGGCGCTCCGTCTGCTGCAGTCCATCCGCGAGGCCATCAGCCATGCGGCCGAGGGCGGCCTGCTGCAGCGCACCCCCCACCTGATCCTTCTCTCCACCTCATTCTACCACGCCACTCTCAAGCCCCTCCTTGCCAAGTGGCTGTTCTTCTTCCTGCGTTCCAAGCGGCTGACGGGCATCAACGACGAGACGGCCCTGAGGTACCTGACGGGGGCGGAGGGCGAGTTGACGCGTGACGAGGGGATGAAGGCGACGCTCGAAAGGGGTCTGAGCGACTTCCACATGAAGATGCTCAACCTGGGGAGGGAGTGGCTGCACTCTCTCATGCCACACGTACTCGCCAAAGTCAACCGAGTCAGGTCGGTCAGGGGGCGAAATGAGGAGAGGGGCCGAGGGTATCTCCTGCTCTGTCTGTGTGTCTTCATCAGTTTCGGCTACCTTCGTCCAGCGGACATTGTCCGTCTGCAGAATGACCAGCCGCTGATGCCCCGGTCTCGGCGGCTGCTGGCAGTGCCGTTTGTGGGCAAGGACGTGCCCAGCCGCGCGAGTGAGTTCTCTCACCCCGATGTGGTCATTGGCCTCACCATTCTCGCCTACCGCCTCGACGGCCTGCGGATGGACGATTTCCGCCAGGTACGCAACAGAACCACACACCTGACTCCCTCATGTCACTGTCGTTTCGTGTTTTCTCAGACGATGAGCGGCCTCAAGCAGACGCTCGAGCAGCAGGTGGGCCCTGTCGACAAGCGCCCTGCGTCACTTAAGTTCAACAAGTGGGTGGACAAGGCAGGAGGCCGCGTGAGGGGCAGCAAGCCGTCGTCAGCGACACAGGGGCTCCCCCCAACAGCCCCCGCCACCGCCCCAATCCCTGCCAGCGCCACGTTGGATTTCGACCCGATGCGTGTGTGGCCGCTGGCGTTGATCGACCTGGGAGATACGGAGCAAATGGACGCGTTGTATGGGCTGCTGCAGCACGAGAGCAGCGTCATCTGGGGGTACCTGCACGAGTACGTCTTCCCCGTGTGTTTGGAGCACACCACACTCCAGCTGAGTGCTTGTGGGCAAGATTTGGGCGGTTCGAACCTGTTCGGCACACGGCTGGGCTTCTCAGGTATCTATGGCACACCCGCTCTGTGCTTGCTTGATTCAGACACGTGTGTGTGTGTGTGTGTGTAGGCACGCCATCCAATTTGATCCCTCGCGAGCTGGGACTGTGTCAGTACGAGCAGGGGACGGACGGTAAGTGACAGGAGAAGAGACGGACTCAGTCAGCTGGGAATCTTGTCGGTCAGGTAAGATCCTCACGCTGCTGACCTCACCCCGGGTGGTAACCCACACGACCCTCGAGCAGGGATGGGGTGTGGCGGCCATTCTCAAGCGAGTGGCCAACGGGGGATTCCACGCGCTCATCGACACAGGTACACAGCACAACTATACATAGAGGAAGCATGGACATGCTGTGTGCCGTGTGATGTGCCTGCAGGTGCGCTGATAACGGGTCTGTCCAATTTGGAGGTGGCTCGCCGTCTGCTGGCTGCCGGGCTGAAAGGGCACGATGGTGTGGTGTTCCTGGACAGCCAGGACCGGCAGATGGTGCTTATGAGAGAAGGAGGCAAAGTACTTCCTCTCGCCCAGTGCGGCCTCTCGTGGGACAAGCGTTTCACCTTCTACGATCAAGTACGCCGGGATGCATGGTCCATCCATCCATTTGCTCGCTTCTCATGTTTCTTTCTGTGCCATCAGATCCACACGACCGGCATGGACATCAAGCAGGCCATCTCTGCTCGTGCCGCTCTCACTATCGGCAAAGACATGACGCTGCGGGACTACAGCCAGGGGGCCTTCCGCATGCGCGGCATCGGCAATGGCCAGACCCTCCAGGTACTCATCCCGCCAGAGGTCGCTCGCCTCATCGCCGAAGCAGCATCCATCGACCCCCCATCCCTCGCCACCCTCTCGGCTGCTGACGTGCTCTCCCACACAGCGGGTTGGCTGACGCTGCAGAGCATGCGCAGCGAGAAGATGCAGTTCGACCTCCTGTGCGAGCAGGACCTCTGCAACGTGTGGCGGCGACGGGCGTTCGAGCTCCTGCGCGAGGGCCACGACCAGGTGGGGAGCAGCGCGTCCCTCCTCTCTCGTGATAAGGCCCCCCACCCCCTGGCCCTCGCCGTCGACACTTTTCGCGACCGAATTGACTTCACCGTCCCCAACACTGTGGAGGCGAGTGAGGGTCTTGGCGAGAAGCTGCGAGACCTGATGCAGGAGAACGACAGGATTCTCACCGATGAGGACCGCCAGACGTGTGGCCTTGTGCTGCGGCGGATGGAGGGGGGCGGGGAGGGGGCGGGGAGGATGGGCGGGGTCATGTACACGTCAGAGCTGGTCCAGCAGCAGGAGGAAGAGCAAGAGAAGGAGCAGGAACAGGAGCAGGTGGGCAGGCGGGCGGGCGAATGGGGCACATATATTGACGCGGTTCTTTCATCCATCGATTGTGTCGTTTTGTGGTGTGTGTCGGTTGGTCATCGCTGCAGGAGCAGGAGGAAGAGAAGGAGAAGGAAGAAGAGAAGATGACCGAGCCAGAGGTGGCGCTGCCTCTCAAGTACTCACGAGACGACGAAAACCCCATCCCCTGGCCCATCACCGCGCTGTCACACCCACCGGCCCACAGTGGTGCGCCACCCTTCTACCCGCTTTCAGAGTTTGCCGTGCTCGTGAAACTTCTCCAGAAGCCGAAGCCGCTGGACTTCCCACACCATCTGTCCCTCTCACAGGTGGGCACAACACGCGACCACACACCATTGCAGCTGGCCGCATCTCTGTCCATGTGTGGCTGTGCTTTGCATGTGTGTGTATCAGAACCACTATCGTCAGAAGTGGTCTCTGCAGACCTTCCGCCGGCTGAAGAACGTGCTGGTGGTACTCGAGTGGATCCCAGACACTACCAAGCTGGGCAGCGATGTGGACAGAGATGAGGGGCAGAACGAGCTGACGGACGAGCAGGAGGATCGACTTCGGAAGGCCTTCGAGCTCTTCGACACTGACAACGATCGCACCATCGATAGGGGGGAGCTGGTGCCGCTCCTTCGCGCCATGGAGATGGAGGCAAGGAGCGCACAAACACGAGAGAGGAAGCCACCGTGCATTCATTCAGGTACATACATGCCTGGCCGCTTCATGTGTGCAGGTGGACGACTCTATGGGGACAGAGATAGTGCAGCTGATCAAGAGCCGCCTGGCCACCGACGGTCAGTCCCCCACCTCCGTCACTTCACTCTCGTTCGACGAGATCCGCACCGCACTCGCCGACAGACGACTCCTCACAGCACAGGAGGGCCGGCATTTTGTCGTCCTCTCTCTCGCCGAGGCCCAGACGATTCGTGTGGCCCTGCACGCCACCAATGGCCGCATGCCAGACGGCAATGTGGCCTTCGCCCTACGGGCATTGCCATGTGGGTTTGTGGCTTTCGACTCGAGTAGCGGATTCGGCGATTGGAAGCGTGGTGCCAAGGCCCTGGTGAAGTACCAAGAGGAGAGCGCGGCTCAGTGCTGTCGGTTCGTCAACTCGGAGCACTTCTACACGCCGAAGCAGCTGGCCATCCTGTTGCGGGCGCTCCAGCCCAACGACTGCAAAGCCCGACAGACATTCTTCCTGGAGGTGAGTACAGCATCACAGTACCCACCAAACCAAAGCTTTTTGTTCTCATCTTTCCTTCTCTTATCAGGTCCGTCGCTGCCGGCGTCGTGCGCAGCTGCCGTGGGAAGACACACCTCTCGCACAGCTGTTTGCCACGGCAGACGACTTTGCCGCTTTGAAGCTGAAGGCCGTGGGTGCGCGTGTGCGGCAGCGGCTGTACGAGAGGGGCATGAGCCTCGCCGACGCATTCATGGCCTTCGACCACAACAGAGACGGTGGGGAAGAGGGAGAAGGGGAAGGGGAGACGGCAAGGTTTGGGTGTGGACTGTATGTACTGTGTGCTGGCTGTGGTGTGGTGTGGATGTATTGTGTAGGTGTGTTGAGTGGGGCCGAGCTGTATGGTGGGCTCAAGTGGCTGGGCGTGCCGCTCACGCCCGAGGAGGTGCGGGACGTCATCACCTTCGTCGATCACGACGCCAACGGATTCATTCAACAGGTGACAACAAAAGGCAACAACAAACATCACTTGGCGCATCCATCCATCCATTCTCCATCCTTGCAATATGTAGGCTGAGCTTCTGGATGCCTTCGGCGTCTCGTCCTCCTATCTCCTCACCGACGAGACCTCCAGCACCACCCTCCCGTCGCCCACTCTCCGTGTTGAGCACGCACAAGCAGCAGCGCTACGCCCTGCTGCACTTCCCCGCCCTCCCGCCTCCCCCGCCGCGACCCACCAGATCATCCCGGTGGCGGTGCCCGGCATCCATGAGGCCCTCGGCGCCTCCCACGACCCAGCACAAGTCATCGACAGCGGCTTGCGGCGCCTGCAGGCCGCACTGGTCGATCGGCTGGAGTTTTCCATCGAACGCCACGACAGCTTCCACAAGGTGTGGACGAGTGAGGGCTCGACCATGATGATGCCGACCGCCTTGTCGCTGTGGGAGCCTGACGAGCTCAAGGGGAGGCGAGTGGAGCTGAGAAAGAACCGACTGCGGCTGTGTGTGGGGCACTATGCGTCGACACAGAAGGCGCTGGTTGTCGAGGCGCATGATTTGGGCATCACTGTCTTCAACAAGCCGCGTGAGATGACCGCCGCGCTGGAACTCATTTGCCCTCAAGTCATCCGATTCAAACAGGTCCGTCCACCAATCTTGATCGACATGCAGACGTGACGTACGTGTACGGATGTCACGGTGCCTTCTGTGCGCGAGTGTCATGCAGGTGTGGGCCAATGAGCGAGGCTCTCATCCCCTTTATGTGTGGCGGGGGGTGCCGCCCTCTGATGACTTTGTAACTCTGGGGCTGATGGTGACCAGCAAGAGAACACCCCCAAAGCGGAGCCACCAGAGATGCATACCCAGAAAATGGGTACGTCCACAGACACCTATAATCCGATCAAGCAGTCTGTCTGTCTGTCTGTATGCTTCTCTGTGTGCTGTGTGATGTGTGTGCAGGTGCGTGTGCTGGACAGTGACAAGGTGTCAGCTGCGGCAGAGAGGCTGCTGGACAGCGAGAGTATCGGGGCTGGCGCACGGCCCGGGTGCCTCTGGAGTGTCCCCCCGTATGGCCTCCTGGCCTTCACAGAGCAGGAGGGGGAGGAGTTCTCCCAGCCTGCTTTCGCGCTGCCGATGGCCTTCAAGCTGAAAAGTGCCGACAAGGCACATGGCGGCGACGCCATCCCAGATGTGATTGTCAGTGAGTGACTGACCAACCAAGTGATCTGATTGATGAGTCTGTGTGTCCACGTGGTGTGAGGTGAGTGGCCTTTTGTGTACCTCGAGGAAGGGTGTGGTGTGTTGTGTCCACATGGAATACCATCAAATTCCCTGAGGGGAAGGGGAGGGGCCTGGCTGCCAGTGGCTGGTATCTTTGCGCAGTGCATTTATTCATTTTGTGTTGTCGATCAGCAGTGTCGTGGAGCGATTGAGTGGTAGTGTTTCGGTCCTGTGTGCGTGGAGGCTAGGTGGAGGCAAAGCCGTACAGCTACAGTGCTGTGCCTTTCTGGCCAGCGGCATCTTACATGTACCTCTCCCTTCAAGATGGACATGAATCGTATTCCATGACAGAACAAAAAGATCCGAGCGCAAGGGACATGTGTGTCATCTGCTCTCAGATCTCTCGTGCATGACACGGCCTACCTGTCAAAAAATGGATTTTATGCAATCGTACTTTGCCTCTGCCCACCTTCCATGGCCTCCTGCTGCATGTCCTCAAAAAAGCGCGGCGTGGAGATTTCTCGCGAGACGGAGATAAACTTGCAAATTTCCGAATGATTATGAGCTTGCATTTTTCATTATTCTACGCATTCAGCTTGCCAGCCTTGTTTCAGCCACAGATCCTCCAATTCTTTTTCTTTTCGGCTCTCATAGTCTGGTATTGTGCGCATCATCTCCCTCCCAACTCGTCCGGACGTCATCGGGCACTTTTTTTCTCAACCGCCAACCGCCATGCCCCCCAACACCGGCATCCCCCAACATCGGCGGGCAGAGTGCTGACTGCCTTGGGAAGGGAGATTCACGGCCTCTTATCGCCCCTATATGCGAAGGACATCAGCAGCATCAGCCAGCAATCCCGTGCAGCCATCAACAACCTTGAGGAAGATCCCGCCTTCTTCGACACAAGACCTGCTCACCCATCCTGACCTCCCCTTCACACCGACAGCCGAGAAGAAGCACATCCTCTTCGGCGAGGCTGCGCTCTCAGTGCTGGGCCTCGCGGGGAAGCTGGAGACTCACCTTCGAAGCCGCCCTCGAAACAGTCAGGCACTGACTGAACAGAAGAAGGAAGGTAGACCAGACCAGACACCGATGTGTGTGTGTGTGTGTGTATGTGTTACTTACAGGGAAATCAGCGAGAAGTTGCTCATCCCAGGTGTCTTCACGCTCGACAAACAAGGGGGGCACCAGTTCAAGGGAGGCGCAGTCATAATGAGAATGCGTTCGTTTCTCGCGTTCATCGCTGGCTACATTTTACATCTGCTGTTTCCTCTGGCATCCACTCCGTTTCTTTCCGCACTTTGACACATGCATGTGTCTCCACTTCGAATGCAAGTACAGTGCACACGCGCACACACACACACAACGCACATGCATTGCGTCCGTGCACAGAGAGCGGTCGTGTGTTGGTTGTCTTCTCTATGGAAGACATCCCTCCAAAGGCCTGCCTACTTACTGTCTGTGGTGTCTACTTACTTTGCTGTGTGTGTCTCTGCCATCGTCAGATAAATTGGGCTGGCACTGTGTGGTGCGTGTGTGTGTGTGTGTTGGGGGCGTGCGAGGGGGGGTACTGTGTGCAGCTCGTCTTCGTGTGTCGATGCAATCGATGTATGCTGGATTAACATGTCCGTCGGTCGGCGGCGTGAGACACACATGAATAGACATAACCGAGTGATTTTTGAAGGTGTGTTTGGGCATCACGCGATCGACAACCCCGCGTCATCAAGTGATGCATCGAAACGAGCTGTGCTTCGACCATCGCTTGCTCAGCGAGGTCCCCGGCAACACAATGCCCATCACACACAAGACACAGGCACCAATCAGCCGATCATCCATCCATCCATCCACAACGCGGGCGTCCGCGCGCACAGAGTGGTCCGCTCTTCGCCCCGCCAGCTTCCGTGGCTCAGCCGATCAGCCTTTCTTCTGTCTCTTCTTCCGCTGCTCGTACTCAGCATTGAAGCTCGCCGACGCCTGGGCCAGCAAGTCGGTGCTCTTGATGCGCTTCTGAGAAGACACACACACCGACCGACCGACCCACATGCACACAGCGACGGGCGGGTTTGTCTCGTTTGTGTGGCGTGACGCCCACCTGCGCCCTCCTCTTCTCCCTCTCGGCCTCGCTGCCTGTCAGCCCGATGGCACGTTTGGACAGTCGGTCCTCCTTGGCTTGCCTAGGGAGGGGAGAAAGGCAACACAGACAGACACAGACACCGACACACAGAGACGTACACAGACACAGGCGCATGGCTGTGTGCAGTGTGCCCACTTGTTCTTGTCGGTGAGCTTCTGCTGCCTGTCGATTGCCTCGTGCAGCGTCATCCGACCCTCACCCTATACGAACCAACACGGCGCACACACGACGCATGGCGATATCGGTGCCAAGTGAGAGAGAGACCCTGTGCACCCATACCAGTTTGCCCTTGACTGCCTGTTTTCGCCTCCGCTTCTTTGCACCCCGCAGCGCCTTCCGCTCCTCCCGACTCATCTCGTGCGATGCCTGAACACACACACACACACACCGTAGACCATGAACGAAAGCATCTGACGCTCAATGCGTGTATGCATGACTACGCACCTTTTCTGGTTCGGGTGCCTTGACCTCCTCGGGGGCCTTTCGCTGAGCATCAGACATTGTCACGGGCCTGCACACACACACACACACACCCTCAATCGCATGAATCTATGGATCAGACAGGCTTTGTTCTTCCTTGTTGTGTGTGCACACGTACACTGTGTCTTCGACAGTGATGGCGGCGATGTCCCTGTTGTGGCCGTCGCCGTGCTTGGGGGGCCGGGGAACGAAGTGCTGGTTGGTCAGGGAGTCCAGCTGGTGCACAAGCTTGGCGAACAGACGGGCCAACTCCTGATACACCCATGCATCGCGACACACTCATGTGTGGTACCATGAGGAATGAGCGGCCCCTTACCTGTTTTGACTTGTCTTCTTCCGTTTCCGCCTTGTGTCCTGCAAAAAGACACCGACAAGGCGTCCCATCGAACGTGTGCAGCGAGTCATCGTGTACATGTGTGGCTTTGCATCCCACCGAGCAGCTCAGCTTCGTACTGGCGCGAGTAGATCTCACCAAGACCCACCTGACAGACACGAGAAGGCAGTCGTGCAGCGCATATGACTTTCCCCCATTCTCCCTAATTGGCTCACTCTGCTCTTTTGGAAGTCGAGGGTCTCCTCGGCGTTCTCCTCTGGTGCACGAGCTGCTGGTGGGGCCTCCACCCTGACGGACGCACGCGCAGTGTGGAGAGGGAGATAGATGGATGACGCGCTGCCCTGTGTGCGGAATTCTGTGTTTTGTACTTTCTGACGACGTCGTCGAAGGCGAGGTCCTGGATGCGCTGACGGATGATCTTCTCTATGATCCCCGATATGCTGAGGAAACGAATAACAACACAACCCCGTCACCATGATTCAAGGACGGCCAGCTTAGCCAGCTTTGTTCGGTGTCTTACTCTGTCTTTTGCAGCGCCTCCTGGGCCACATCGAGGTTCTCCTGCACACACACACACACACAGGCACAGGGCCGGTATGTACGCGCATCGAATGACTTCGTGTGCGGTGCCGTGCGATGTGGTGCTTCCTGACTCCGAGTGTGTCAGGCATGGCGGCCATCTCGGCGCTCTGGGGCGCCGCATACTGAGGCAGCTCCAGATTGATGTCAAGCAGACTGACACACACACACACACACACAGAGAACCATAACAAATGAGAGGATTGGGTCTCTGTCTGTCTGTCTGTCCGTCCGTCCTTGGCCGCGTACCTGTCCCTCGGTCTCTGTTTAGCCTGCACCTCGCCCGTCATTGTCCAGTGCTTCGGCGCCAGCGCGTCATCCTCCAACTCATCTACAGACAGCAACATGTCGGTGGGTGGGGTTTGGAGCTTCTCTGTTTGTCTTTGCCGTCTGTTTGTTCGTACCCACCCACCTACCAATCATGGCTTGGAGTTTCTTGTACCGCTCGTCCAGCTCCAGCAGGCTGCCCTTCTTGGCGCCTGGCTTGGGCTCGACTGTCTGTGCTGCCTCAGCGCCCCCCTCTTGCTCCTCCTCGGGTATGGTGTCGTCATCATCCTCCTCGTCGTCGACGCCAGCCTCCGCCTCGTCTCTCGTCGCTTGGGCAGATGAGTCCTCATCTGCCTCGGCCTCTTGGGCATCATCGTCGCCGTCGTCAGCCGCTAGGTCGTCTTGTGGTTGCTCGTCACTGTCGTCGCCCTGCCCGCTCTCATCGTCATCTTCCTCCTCACCCTCACCCTCGTCGCTTTGCTGTTGGTCGGTCTCGCTTTGGTCTTGTTCAGCATCGTTGAGGAGTTCTTGCTGCATCTTGGCGATGAGGTCGACCTCTTCACCCTCCTCCAGCTCCATCTCATCGTCGTCATCATCGTCGTCCTCCATCGACAAGACTGACACGCAAACAGACACACGGATGGACAGACCATTGACATACCGTGTTTCCTGCTCACTCACCGTTTGTCTTCTGCGCCATCTTGTCTGCCTTGTCGGACTTCTCGAAGTAGTCACGGTACTTGGTCGACTCATTCTCGGCCTCGCCGCCGTCCTGAGGTCACAGACAGGGAGAAGATCATAGGCTCGCTGCAGCGGTGTCTGTCTGTCTGTCTGTCTCACACAGACCTGTGTCGGGGCGTACAGGAGGTCTTGCAGCTCTTCGTCCACATCAGCATCACCTGCCTCGTCGTCATCCAGCGCACCTCCCTGACGGACGACACACAAAGAAGTCAGAACAGACAGTGGTGTCGGGTGTTGCTGGCCAGGTGCGTCTGTCGTTGCTTTCTCACCTGTTCTTCTCTCTTTTTGCGCGCCGCTTCGGCCCTCTCAGCCTGCTGCACAAACTCCTCCATCTGAGAAAAGAACACACAGCCATCGACAAGAAGTGATGCATAACACGCCGCTATGCGCTTTTTGTGCCCAATGCACTCCTTCACCTCAGCAAGTTTGAAGAGGTGGTCATCCACGACGCTCCCCTTGCCGTGCTTGGCCGACCCCCTCCCACGTCCCGATGCCGCCCTGCTGTCACCTGACGACAGCATGCGCTCCAGCCTCTCGTCCTCTTCGTCTTCCTCCTCGGCATCGTCTGGGTTGATGTCATCCTGCTGTTCGTCGTGTGTCTGCCGCCGCCTTTGTCTCTTGCTGACAAGTTGCCCCTCCCTTGTGTGATTGTCTCCTCGACTGCTGTGTGGCCCCCGAGCCCTTTCGCGGGCTTCCACACTCAGCAGCGATAGTGGCACCCCATCGCTGGCATCGTCGGCTCCCTTGTCGATCGCACCGTTGGTCGCTGTGGCCCTCTTGTGGTGCAGCAGCTTGGCCACCCTCTTGGTCAGCTGCTGCAGCGCGCCTTGATGCTGCAGACATACGACACGGAACAAAAAGATGGATCGAGGATCGATGGAAGGCTATGCAAGTGGTGCTAATCTGCGCGGCCCACCTTTGAGTCGATTTGCTCCCACACCTGTTCCGGCTCAAAGCCATCAATGTGCAGCTCGGTGCCCTTGTGCGCGCCGCCAGGTTGATCTGACCAAGGCGCATGGACATTCACTGAAGCAAGCAACACAAGCAGCACAAGAATCACAAGCATCACAGCCCTGCGACAGGCATGGCAAGACGATGGATCTCACTGACCCTGTCGGTTGAAGAATCTGGCACACTTGAGGGCCTCTCCTGTGAGATGGGCGTCGGCGGACACCACCTTCTCGGGGTGCTTCAGCACCTGACATAACCATATCCCATCCAACGATGGATGAATCAAAGCATGTCCACTCATTGTGTCTGATCTCAGTGGGCCATTCCCACCTTGTCCACGAGCTCTCCCAGATCAGGGCACTCACTGGACGCACCAAAACTCATCTTCGCGTTTCAGAAGCGAGAAGCTCCAGACAAGTCACACAACGCCACAGATCACTGTCTGGCTGACCACAGATCCCATTGCCTTCATCCCACCAGGAGCGTGATTTGCTAGCTCGCATCAGTGGTCCACTTTTCGCCTGAGCTTCCTTCACCGACGAGCATACCTGACTCCCTACTACCCGAAGGAGCCAGCTCAAGAGATATGGCCCTTTCTCAGCTCTCAGAGAAGTCTCCGCTGTCGGGTGGCTCCCTCAGCAAGGGAGACTCCCGAGGCGACATCCCCGACCTGGTTGAGGCTGCGGAGACCACGGAGGCCTTCGTCCCCTGCCTGGCCAAGGTGTTGGACCACCTCATTCAGATGTCCCAGGAGAACATCGGACAGGTGGGTGGGTGGCCACGGGAGGCAGGCCGAGACAGCATGTGGGAGGGGGGGCGGAGGAAGGGGATGGACGTGGCCGTGTGTGTGGCGGGTGGTGCAGGTGACTCGGTTCCATGCGGTGCGGCCTCCTGCGATTTCGACGCATGACTATCTGGCGAGGTGGGTGTACACGACGGCAGGCAGCCGCCTGGTGGCACGCGTCTCGCGTGCTGCGGGTGGTCCACGGCCTTCCTCTGTGTGTGTGGTGTATTTGGTTCAGGATTGCCAAGTACTTCAACTGCAGCCCTGAGTGTTTCGTGTTATCGCTCGTGTACATCGACCGGATTGTCAAACTGCACACCGACTTCACCGTCAACAAACTCAACATACACAGGTCGGGGGGCGCACTCACACACAGAGGACACCCCTTCCCCTCCCCTCTTCCTGTCTGTCTCATGTGTGCGCCATCCATCCCCTGCTGCTGCCTTGGTTGCGTGTGATGTGATAGGTTGTTGCTGACGAGTGTGTTGATGGCGGTCAAGTATTTCGACGACCACTACTACAGCAACGCCTACTACGCCCGAGTTGGGGGCGTCAAGACCGAGGAGATGAACCACCTCGAGTCGCACTTCCTCATGCTAGTCAAGTTCCAGCTGTACGTCACGCCACACGAATACGACCAGTACCGCAAAAACGTCCTCGCAGCCGTACACGGAATGGTAACCACCACCAGCACCACACCAACAACCATACCCACCCCTCTCACTTGTCGGTCTCTCCTTCAGGAGCCGTCTAGCGTTAGTTCGCCGACGGCCGTGTCGGCGTCTCCGTCGAGCCTGCTGACGACGCCCAGCGATGAGTCGGTGGCCAACCCGCCCATGCACCCCATGGCCGCCACCCTGCCCATCGTCAGCACCGCCGCGCCGTTCCCGCCAACCATGCCTTCCTTCTCCGACTCGGACAGCGACAGCACCCCGCTTCACGGCAATGGTGGCAGTGGCCGTAGCGGCAGTGGTGTCGACAGACGGAGCAGCAAGGACCTGGCGGGCACCTTTGGGATCGCCCTGCTGCAGCACCAGCAGCGCGTTGAGTGCGGGAGTGTGAGTGTAGGGGGGCTGCCGACCGTGTCCAGCACCCATTGCTACGCGCCATCGCAGTGTGAGAGTTCCAGCCTGTCGCTGCACTCGTCGAGCAGCTACAGCATGTCGCTGCACACCCTCGCCATCGAGAGGGGACTCAGCGACGTGGCCACCATCCACTCCACGGGCTCGCCCCAGTCCACCGCATGCCCCCCACACATGTGGTCGGCCAACCCGGTGCTCTCAGCTTCGTCGCCCGCCGTCGCCCAGTCGTTCAACAACTGGTCGGCGCCGGCCCCCCCGCCCCCGCCGCACCATGGTTGCCCTTCCCTGCCCCTGTACGCAGCATCGGCTAGCAGCGATCGTTGTGTGTCGGTGAGTCCGATAGCGCCCCCACCTCCCCCGCCCCCGCCCCCGTCAGAGGGCAGCCGCAGCACGCGTGACGGTAGCGGCGACAGCCTGGCCGACTGGTACGACTGCGGTGCCGCCCTCAAGGGGCCGGAGCGAGTGCGGTCGGGTGGGTGTGCTGGTGCTGGTGCTGGTGTGGGTGGGGGCCTGCTGCCCACGCCGCCCCTCAGTTTTCGCAAGTGTGAGAGGGGCAGCAGTGTCGGCGGAGGATTCGCCCACTCCCACTCGTCCCAGGCCATGCAGCAGCAGCAGCAGCAGCAGCAGCCCCCACCGCCGCCCTTCCCGCCACCCGCACACAGCGGCCACCATCAGCGGAGCTTCAGCAGCTTCCGGGGCGGCGTGCAGGGTTGCGGGTTCGTGCCGCCCCCTCCGCCCCCGTACGACAAGGACCATGCGAGTGGCGGTGGTGTGGGGCACATGTCGATGATGATGATGCAGATGCACCACAAGGTGCCGATCGCCAAGGCGCATGCTGACTACCACCCCAAGATCCAGGTCGTCAGCAACTACTGACTGAATCGACCGCCGGGATGGAGCGAGGGTCGGCGGGTGTTGGTGTGCGTGGGGATAGTACAGCGAGTGAGTGAGTGTGGCGTGACGGCTCGCTCTGTTGGTTGATGGAGGAAGCAAGGAAGAGGGCGATGCCCATGGTGGGGTGGATGGATCGTTGGATGGGTGGCTGTATCATACTGATGGAATGAATGAGTGGATGAGTCGCGGGTGGGGTGGCGTGCAGACGCAGAAAGAATGGTGGTCAGTCGGGTGTCTCTCTCTGTCTGTCTGTCTGGTTAGTGTGGTTGTGAGAGCGAGCCAGGGATGCATTGCATTCCATCCGTCGTGCTTGGATGGCATGGCGTGCATGAGTGTCTCGGCCGGCCGGGTGACGCGCCCCTGTCTCTCGCTGATATTGTGCAGTCAGCGAGAGACAGGGTAAGGCGGCCTTGAGACGCCTGTTGACCGACTGACTGACTAATGCTCGCTGGACAGGCAGGCGCGCAGGCAGGCAGGCAGGTGAGCTCTTGTCTCCCTCTCCCTCTCTCTCCCCTGTCGTCTCGTCTCCTTGTGTAGAATAAGGCTAGATTTGCCTGCCCCCTGCCTGCTCACCTGCCTGCCTGTTTGCCTGTTTGCCTGTTTGCGTGCGTGTGTGGCGTTGTGTGTCTTTTCCCTTTTTGACCGGCTGACCACCGTTGTATGCCGATTTCATTCATCATGGATTGAATGGATGGATTGACGGATGCACGCCTGATGCATAGATACATAAGTACATACGTACATGTCTGTCTGTCTACACATGTATAAGTTACGTACGTGTATTGTATACCTATGTATCTCTCTATATTCAGCTTCCTGTCTGTCTGTCTGTCTGTATGCCAACCAACAGGAAACAGGATTATCTCACTTTTCCCCGTCTGCCTACGTATCTGTCTGGCCCATTCTTGTCTGTCAGTCTTGTCGGCCTGCCACACACGCCATACCATGTCATGTCATGCCATCTTTCAATCAATGCTATGGATGCGATGCTACTCGTACGTACCTGCTACTTGCTGATGTCGTGCTGCGTGGATGGATGCGTGCATCTGGATGAATGAGTGAGTGCGGTCGTGCTTTTGATGGGCCGGATGGTGCCATGCGATGCCATGGGCATGGGAGTGAGACAGGGCGCACGCACGTACGAGCTGATGAGCAATGGGGGGCTGTCCGTCGTCTGCGCGTTATAAGTGAATGGTGAATGGCTACCCTACTGATCTGTCTTGCTGGCGAAGAAAGAGGGGAGGGAGGGGGAGAGACAGACTGCGTGGCGGCTGGGTGGTGTCGTTCTGCGTACCGTGTACCTATCGTGTATCTATAACGTCTCTTGTCGTGTGCACGTACCTGTGTACATGTGTGGCGTGTTGTGTTGTGTTGTGTGTCTTGTCGATTCATCGTTCGTTTTGTCGTTTTGTGCACCCAGCCACTCCACAAAATGGAGCGGAGCCACTCTGTGCACCTTATCCACACACACACACACGCGCGTATACACACATCATCACACACACATTCCTGTGTGCATACCTGCATGGGTCTTTGAAGATACCAGAAGGAGAGAGGGGGAGGGGAGAGAGGGGTTGCTGTGTCGGTGTACCTGTCTGTGTGTGTTCTCTACGTGTCAGTACGTCGCTGCTTTTCCTTGCCTCCGTGCCGCCATCCATCCATCCATTCGGTGGGCAGATTCTCACGAGGGGGGCGGGTGTGGGCGTGTGTGAGGGAGAAGCTGCAGCTGCGGATATGAATAAGGCTCGTCTGTCGCGTCTTTCTCTTCTCTCACACCACAGCCACGCCCGTCTACCGATCTCACTTTTTTGCCCCAGCCACCAGCCACAGCTCTGCCAATTTTCGTATTTCTCGTACTGCTGATGAGTGACGCTTACGTCCCTCAGAGGTTAGGGAGGTAGGTACTACCTGTTCCTTCCTGTCCGCCTCTCTGTCTGTCTCTCAGTACAAATGTATCTGTGCCTGCTCATCACATCACATGGCATCGGTGCTGTGCCCTTGCCTGCCTCTCGTCCCCTTCTCCTTCCTCTCTGTCTCTTCTTTTCTCTCAATGTACCATCACTCACTCGTCGATTGACGGCAGGGCGTTTGTACACTACACTACACTACTCACAAGCTCACCCGTCCCCTCCTCTCCCTCCCCTCCCGCCCTTTTGGCTGAATGGTTGGCGGCCTGACTGGCTATCCGTCCGTCCGTCCGATCAAAGATCGGAAGCACTATTGGCCCTCATCTGATGGGGCCTCCCACACGCACAGCAGACAGACATGCCACGCCATGCCACGCCATGCCAGTCGCCGGCCATTCATTCTATCATGATCCATGATGATGCTTCCTTTGTTGTTTTCATTTTCGTGCGTGTGGCAGGGAGGGAGGGAGGCGCGGGGAGAGAGCACGGCCCCTTTTTTCGCGATAGATAGGCGGGTGGCATGGCATGGCATTCCGGATGGAAGGGGCCATTTTGGATTCGCTGGCGGCTGGTGGCTGCTGAGGACGCCCCTCTCCCCCTCGGTACGGATGGATCGATCGAATGAATCAATTAGCGCTCTCTCTCTCTCGTTGACGGCTGATGTGTGCGCATGAGGGTGTATACGGGTGGGTGGTACCAATAGTCGCTGCGGCCTGTCGTATCGTGGTGTCTTGTGTTGTGTCGAGAGAGAGGACAGACGGACAGACAGACAGACAGATGGCTGGACGGATGGATGGATGGACAGAGACAGACGAGCCCCCGGACCAGCCCCCGGGGGGCTGGAGAAATGAAGGAAAGATTGATCGATCTGTTGTCGTCCATGTGTCTGATTGATGGATGGATGGCTTTTGCGTTGCGTTGCGTGCCCGTGATGTAGATCGCTTGTATGCCGACAGACAGACAGACCGACAGGGAGAGGGAGAAGGGGAGTGGGGCGATGTATGTTGATTTGTGTCCGTCCGTCCGTCCGTCCGTCCGTCGACCGATCGATTGATCGTTGTGCTGTAGTGAGGAGCATGTGTTCATTCCTTCATTTGCGCGTCATGTCTCGTCATGGCCACGAACGGGGAGACAGGGAGAGGGAGAGGGAGCAAGGAAGGTAGCCGTCCTTCCAGCGCCAACACGCCCCTCACTCCCTCTCTCTCTTTCTCGCCCTATCTGCCTGCCTCTTCTTAACGGCTGGCCATCAATGACAGTGACTGACTTGACAGAAGAGTGTTTCTCCCATTTTTGCGCACCCTCCCTCCTGCAGATGGATGGATGGATGATTGCGTGTGCTGCCTGCCCTGCCCCGCCCTGCCCCGCCCCGCCCCTTTCCGGGGCGATCCCTTTTTCGACAGACAGGACGGACAGACAGGCACGGCGCAGAGACGCGCATGCCAATGACAGAAGGATAGACAGATGCACGAGGGGGCTGGGGGCTGGCCGGCCGTCATAATTTTCACGACAACGGGAGGCTGGTGTGTTGATGCGTGTATGAGCGGCAAAGAAAGACATTGTTGGTGCACCTGTCTGTCTGAGACATTTGTCTGTGCCATCATCAATCACTCGTGTGAAGGCACGTACATACGTACACACACCTGGCTGCTGGCTGTGTTGCCGTGTTTGCACCGGCGGCCGGCAGCTGGCTGACGATGGGTAGTAACCTGCAGAACAGATGGAGAATCATGCGTGGCTACTGGTATGTATATCACTTTCTGATGATGTGCTCACTACTCCTGGACTGACGGACTCACTGACTCACTCACTCACTGACTGACTTGAGTGGTGTGCAGAGATGCATTCATGCTGCTGCCTGACTGCCTGCTTGCCTGCTGCGTGTGTTGTGTTGTGTTGTGTGTGGTTTTGCCATGACTGACTGACTGACTGCGTTCCTTCCCGAGTGAGAGTGAGCGAGTGACTAATGCTGCTATTTGTGAGAGCAGAGCACGGAACTCCTGATTGACTGACTGATGATCAAGGCCAGACAGACGGACAGACAGACGGACAGCGAGGAGGGGAGAAGGAGAGAGGGGGAGGGGAATGGTTTTGTCGTCTGTCGTCTGCGAACGAATGAATGGATGGATGGATGTCGGGGTGTCGGTCGATCGTGGGCGAGTGGGAGGGTGTCTGTATAGGAAGGTCGTGTGTGTCGATTTGTAAACTACTCATATGCGTACGTATGTGTAAACGGCGGGCGGCAATCCTGGAGGCGTCTCCTTTTTGTATACAACCCATCACACACACACCCACACTGACGCACGCACGCACGATAATTAATTTTGCGGGCGGCCTTGCTTGCTTCTTTCTTTCTTTGACTTGACGTGTGTGTCGTGTCGCCTGTGTGGCGCTGTAGCCTCCCTCCTGCATGTCGTAAGTGTTGGTTTCTCTTTTTCCCTCGTCGTTTTGTTTGTTTTTGTCAGTCCGTCAGTTGGTCACACACACAAGCTACTGCTTATGCGTCTCGTGACATCGATCGCACATTGGGCCTGCTCAAGTGTACGGCTGGTTCTTTCTTTCTGTCTGCCGTCCATTCATTCATTCATTCTCTTTGCCTACCTTGGTCCGTCAGCCACGCACCCATCCAATGCATTCACATCACAGACCTGCTGCGTGTGCGGTGCGCCGTCTCTTTTGCCCTTGTTCCCTCCTGCGTGTTGGTGAGTGAGTAAAGGCTGTATACATGTGTGGTGTACACTTAACAACGTATATCTCTATCTTTCCCTCCCTCCCCGTCATGGCGAATGGTCGACCACACGGCTGCTGGCGACTTTTGACATTTTTCTCCTCCTCCCAGACACACACATACCATACACGCGCGGATGATCAGGAAGTGAGCGAGCGAGTAAGCGAGTGGGCTGTATTATACCTACCATACCGACAGATGGATGGATGGATGGATGGATTGACGTGTGGTGTGTCTGCGAGTGGTGAATGCACATCTACCTGCCTGCCTGCATGCCTACATGGGTGTGTTGTATCGCTTCGCTGCTCTGCTGCGTTGGTGTTGTTTGTGAAGTGACGACACTCACCCACTACCCACTCACCCATGCCGGCCGTGCATTTGCAGACCCAAAGGCCACAGCCCCCACCAAACCACACCACACGACGCCACTCACACATCAATTCATCCCACCTTTCGCCCAGTAGCACCTAGGTCCTGCACGCCTGACAGAGAGAGAGGGGGGGAGGAAGAGAGGGCACATGCAGGCAGCCGTCCTCGCATCTGCGTGCATGACGGTGCAGCCAACGAATGGTTCTTGACTGGACGACCTGACGACGACGACGGCGATGGCGATTTTTTGGGCCACCCAGTCGACTAACTATTAGTGCTAGCTCACGATTAGGTAAGTAGGTGGGCGGCTCAGCGAGAGATCCATTACAGAGAGGGGCGAGGGAGGGGGATATTTGTATTCTGTGTATGTATGTATGTGTCCTTGCTGCTGTCTGCCTGCCCGGGGTGGTGCCATGCCCACCCATCCACACACGCGGAACAGCTCCGGTCTTCCTTTTTTCCCAATGCAGGGCTGCCGGCGGCCGGCCGAAGACAGACAGACAAACAAGGCATGCGTGTCGATCGATGGATTGATGTTTACACAATTTTGCGGTTCCGAGCGACCGACCCACCCACCTGCGTGCATATGTGTGTATGTGTCTGTACAGGCTGCGTGTGATGTGTTTCTGTGACGGCTGGAGGGAAGAACTGTCTTGTGGCTGGCTGTAATTCGCTGACTCCGCTACTCCTCTCGTCGATCTCACTGACTTGACTGACGATGATTGACCACTGAATGCACTGTCCATACGTCCACACATGCACCTCGACGTCACTCGTCCCCTGTTTGGAAAAAAATAAGATAGCGCAGTGCAGTGCAGTGCCTATTCTGCCTAGCCTGTCTGTCAGTCGGTCTATCTGTCTGTCTATCTGCCCGTCCTCCCTTCTAGTCTGAGAGTCTCCGGCTCGCTCACCCCATCCAGCTACTCACTTGCCCACTTACCTACCCACTTATCCACCTGTTGTGCCCACCAACAGTGTACCATAGAAGCCCCCTCCCTCCTCCTAAGGCTACCTGCCTGTCTGTCGGTTGGCTACCTTCCCCCTGAGTGAGTGCGTCCATCTACAAGTGTATCTATCTACCTTCGCCCATTCATTCGTCCATTCGTCCGTTGATTTCATCATTGCATCATATCACTACTGGGCGGTCTCGTGTAAAGGGGAGGGAGGGGGGCATTGTATGTATCTATGTGTGTGTGTTCGTATGTCTCGATCGTCTGTAATCATGGCTTACGAGTCGCTATCCCTCTGGCTCTCTCGGCCTGCCTGCCTGCCTTTTTGACCACGCGGCATCTAACCCTCACTGGTAAATGGCTGACAGTCGGATCGAGGAAGCCACACTGACATTGCGTAACAAACATGGGTGGGTGGGTGGCCATCAGACAGCGTGTGGGTGTTTTTTCGCTGCACGAACCAACGAACACACGCTGTCGTGTGTCTCGCGTCCCGTGTCCTGACGCCCCTGCCGGGCCCGTCTGCCACTTGTGCGGCGGGTGTCTTTCATCTCGTCTCCGCACCAGTGCCAGCCAGGCCCTGGTGGTGCATCAGGAACACGTCAGCAAGACTCGCTGCACGCGCGCTGCGTTTTTGCTCTCGGCTGGACGGTCCACACACGAATGAACGGATGGCTCATCGATTGCCTTGTCACTCAGCTCTTGTCCCAAACCACGGCACACAACTTACTTTCAGAGAGGGAGCCAGTGAGACCGGTAGACAGACAGGTGGTGGGGACTCAGCGAGCATCATTATTTTTCTGTACAGTATGGCCTCTCCTCCCCCCCCCGGGCGCTTCTTGACGACTTCACCAGCTAGCTACCCGACTCACATGCTACCGGTAGACAGACAGACAGACAGACCAAACCATACCACGTCGGTGATGCTGTTCCTCGGTCGGGTGGCTTGGTGGGTCGCAAAGGTCTGCTGGGGCGGGCTGGGCTCAAGTGGTGGGACGGCCGACAGAGGCCCTGACTGAATGGCTGGGTGTGGGTGTGGGGCGCTGGAGGGTTGGGTGTTAAATACAGGGACGTAGAAGGACAGACAGACAGACAGAGACTGCAGCGATCGATGCCGCTGACATTGCATTGCATTGCACTGCATTGCATGGCACTCATCGCGGCGCGGCCCTCACTCATTCACTCATTCATTGACTCATTCATTCATTTGTATTTTTCTCCGCAGCCATCCGGTCAGCTCATGACGATGGCTGCATTCGTCCATCCGTCCGTGGCGTAGGCGTAGCCCTTTTTCAATATGGCCTGCTTGACTGGCTGGCTGCTTGGCTGTCTCGCCATTCCCTTCCAACCGGTGGGTCAGCCTGTGTGAATGGAATGTGCATGTGTGTGTATGGTCCGTCCAGAGTCACCCAAGGGCGGGAGACACGAACGAGCTGGCTGTGGGCGGGTGGGAAATGGATGTCTGAATGACTCGTGGATGGGGGCAGTGGGGATGGACGGACGTCATCCACACATCCACACCGACACACATTCGGGAGAGGGAGGCAGGGAGGGAGGGACAATTCGCCGATGGATGGATGGATGGATGGCTGGATGGGGCAGTTTGTGACAGACAGGCATTGC